GCAACCACCTAACAACTGCTCAGCAACCACCTAGGGCACCATTGCAAACGCGAAGCACCTGCTTAGCAACCACCTAGAGCACCACTGCAACCTCCAAGCAACTGCTTAGCAACCAGCAAGGACACTGTAGCAACCGCCTAGCAACTGCTTAGCAACCACCTAGCAACTGTTTAGCAACCACCTAGGACACCATAGCAACCCCCTAGCAACCACCTAGGACACCATAGCAACCACCTAGGAAAAAGCACTGCTCTGCATTTCTCTGTTTACCCCTCAGTGTTGACTTGTTCTACAGTCAGTTTCAGTGAAGTAACTTTTACTTAAAGAATGTTTTAAACTTCTCTCCCCATCACTGATCAGGTGGAACAGGGGTACATGTGATATATATATATTTATATATTATATATATATATATATTCACTTATCATCTAAGCAGGAGTGACTTCGTCGATGAGTGAGTGAGTGATGACTGTATGAGCCTCTTTACAGCAAAGAGAGATCAGTCATTACACTTTATTTGCATAATTATTTATAGCAGTACCAGTGAAACTTTCTCCTCCAACACACCCACTTTTAGACATACACACACTGACCATACTGAAGCTGGCCAGGAGATGGGCATGAAAAAAAAACATAAAATTAATAATGAAATCTAATAACAAGAACTGGTTTATATATATATTTTTTTGCTTTATTAAATGTTTAAGTATCGCTGACTGAAAAGTTCTACTGCTCAAAAAGTTGGCATTTAAATAAAAATCTAAGTTGTACTTTAATCATGAGACTGCAAACGTTACATAAACACCAGGACCCCCATGGACCCTCACAGAGCATGTACTATTTAGATGGTGGATCATTCTCAGCACTGCAGTAACACTGACGTGGTGGTGGTGTGTTAGTGTGTGTTGCGCTGGTACAAGCAGATCAGACACAGCAGTGCTGCTGGAGTTTTTAAACACTGTGTCCTCTCACTGTCCACTCTATTAGACACTCCTACCTTGTCAGTCCACCTTGTAGATGTAAAGTCAGCGACGATAGCTCATCACACTAACACACCAGCACCACGTCAGTGTTCCTGCAGTGCTGAGAATGATCCACCACCCAAATAGTACCTGCTCTGTGAGGGTCCATGGGGGTCCTGACCACTGAAGAACAGGGTAAAAGGGGGCTAAGAAAGTATGCAGAGAAACAGATGGACTACAGTCTGTAACTACTATTATTTTTGTTATTATTATTAGTTTTGAGTCCTCTAAAATGCTTTTAAGAGGCTCATACAGGAATGGATCAAGGTTGATTATAATACTGAAGGGGTAAACAAACAAACAAACAAACTTCCTCTGTCCGGATTGGTCGACAAGCCATAGACGTTTGCTCTAATTTGCATAAAAGGCGGGGTTACGCTGTCGCTCTCCGCCCTGCTGTAAATCGTAGATGAAGGTTAGTCTATTCGGTGCTGCCGGAGCCCGTTTTGACTGGTTCTGCTCGGTTTACCGTTGAAGCGAACCGCCCTCACGGCGCCCTGCTGACACTCCAGAGTCCGGAGGAGGTGCTGCGGGAGGCGGGGCGGCTCCGGCCGCGGCGCCGGGAAAGCCATGCCGGGGAAAGACGGGGCTAACCGGCTGCTTCTGCCTCCCACAGCACGGTTAGCACACCCGGCTAGCTCTGTTTACACCGCAGCGGGTCTAGTCTCGCTTTAGCTCGGGTCCAAACCCACAAACGAGCAACAGAAACGCTCTAAAAGCTTAAAACGTGAAGAAATCCAGTCCTGCAGAAACACTTCAGACTTCCAGCTGCCATTTTTTGAGACGACTATGATTAAGCTAGTCCTACACGCTTTAGCGCCCCCTACTGACCGGGCGGAGAAACCTGGCTCTTCTTTAACGCCCACCAGTTAAAACAAAAAAAGTGAATTGCTATCCCATTATTTCGCGATATTAAGTCATTATTTGGAGAATGGTTCTTGTTAAAATACATATTTGTTTATATTTTCATCTCAAAATAATGCGAAAATGTCACAAAATAACGAGAACATTTCTCGAAATGATAAGAAGGCACCTCAAATGAATGAGATAGTGTTTCAAAAATAATGGCATAGCAATTCACTTAACAAAAATATAATACCTAGGTGCTGATTTTTTATTTCATAATAAAGGTAATGGGCTTCCAAAAAATATTGTACAATAAAATGAAAAGAGCTCCAGCACTGAAGTCTCCCTGGTTGTAATATCTGCTAATTTACAAAAAAAGCAGAAATCAAGCTTTTAGGAGCGTCTCCCCAAAATGCACTACAAATGACAGGACTACCTCACATCCTACGAGGCGGCGCCTGCCCTGAGCCATGGGATTTGTAGTTCAGTTATACACTATATTTCCTAAAGTTTTCACTCACCCATCCAAATCATTGAAAACAGGTGTTCCAATCACTTTCATGGCCACAGGTGTATAAAACCGAGCACATAGGCCTGCAGTTCTACAAACATTAGTGAAAGAATGGGTCGCTCTCAGGAGCTCAGTGAGTTCCAGCATGGTACCGTGATCAGATGCCACCTGTGCAACAAGTCCAGTCGTGAAATTTCCTCACTACTAAATATTCCACAGTCAACTGTCAGTGGTATTATAACAAAGTGGAAGTGACTGGGAACGACAGCAACTCAGCCATGAAGTGGTCGACCATGTAAAATGACAGAGCGGGGTCAGCGGATGCTGAGGCACATAGTGCACAGAGGTCAATCGCTACAGACCTCCAAACTTCATGTGGCCTTCAGATTAGCTCAAGAACAGCGTAGAGAGCTTCATGGAATGGGTTTCAATGGCCGAGCAGCTGCATCCAAGCCTTACATCACCAAGCGCAATGTAAAGCGCCGCCACTGGACTCTAGAGCAGTGGAGACGTGTTCTCTGGAGCGACCAATCACGCTTCTCCGTCTGGCAATCTGATGGATGAGTCTGGGTTTGGCGGTTGCCAGGAGAACGGTACTTGTCTGACTGCATTGTGCCAAGTGTGAAGTTTGGTGGAGGGGGGATTATGGTGTGGGGTTGTTTTTCAGGAGTTGGGCTCGGCCCCTTAGTTCCAGTGAAAGGAACTCTTAATGCCTCAGCAGACCAAGAGATTTTGGACAGTTTCATGCTCCCAACTTTGTGGGAACAGTTTGGGGACGGCCCCTTCCTGTTCCAACATGACTGCGCACCAGTGCACAAAGCAACGTCCATAAAGACATGGATGAGCGAGTTTGGTGTGGAAGAACTTGACTGGCCTGCACAGAATTCTGACCTCAACCCGACAGAACACCTTTGGGATGAATTAGAGCGGAGACTGTGAGCCAGGCCTTCTCGTCCAACATCGGTGTCTGACCTCACAAATGCGCTTCTGGAAGAATGGTCAAAAATTCCCATAAACACTCCTAAACCTTGTGGAAAGCATTCCCAGAATAGGTGAAGCTGTTATAGCTGCAAAGCGTGGGCCGACATCATATTAAACCCTATGGAATAAGAATGGGATCTCACTCAAGTTCATATAAGTTCTTGTGAAGGCAGACGAGCGAATACTTTTGGCAATACAGTGTATGTTCATCTCAAAACTAATGATAGTTTCACAAGATAACTAGAACATTTCTCAAAATAACAAGAAGACGTCTCAAATTATTGAGACGGTACCTCAAAATAATGACATCGCAATTCATTTAACGAAAAAAATAACTAGGTGCTGATTTTTTTTTGGAGGGAGTGGGCTTCGATAAAACGTTGTACCACCAGGAAATATTGTTTAAAAATCTGAGTACATACCAATAATAATATTACCAAGACTCTGAATTCTGCCTGGTTTTAATATCCACTGATTTACTAAAAAGGCAGATATAAAGCTTTTCCGAGCGTTTCCCCAAACGAACTACAAAGTCGTTGCAGGGATGACATCACTACCTCATATCCTACTAAGCGGCGCCGGCACTGAGACATGGGTTTTGTAGTTCAACTGTATTTCAGCTGCACAGCTCTGAAAAATCTCCTTATATTATATTGCATCCGCTATTACTGGGGATGGGCGGTGTTTCACAAAGCAGAACTTCTCAGTTAGCCAGATAACTTAAGCCCAAAGATGAAAACTGTCCAATAGCTCTTTTCCTATTGTATAAGCTTGACTTTGGACTTGAGTTATCTGGCTAAACTAAGAAAAGCTGCTTTGTGGAATACTCCCCTGTATTTGTATACACTCAAAATGTCTATTTTCCAAATGTTCCAGCTTTAAGTGACTCTCCAGGGTATATATACCTGCCCAAATCGGAAGGCAAATTATTCAGTAACTGCATGAAATGAATGTAAATTTTTAGTTTATTTATTTTTGTAAATGCTCCCCTCAAATTAACAGAACATGTTTTATGATCATAAACGTACTGATATATGCTTACAATTTACTGCTGAAAGCCAAAAATTAGTATTATTTTATACAAATAATGTTTACAGAGCAGATCACTGAAGAGATGCCATCTGTTTATAGTTTGTAGCCCAGATTTGTGGAAAAATGTGTCGACTTCCAGTAGAAAAAAAAATTGTGAGTTCAGCTTCTTTTATTATAAGGGTTTAAAATTACATCACCCATCTATTTGACTGGAAAGAAGACAGTTACAGCTCTCATATGACACCCATGTATGTTGAACATAGCTTATAAAATATGAAAGTTATGAAGAATATGACTAGGTGTGTTTTGGAACCACCGGTGGTCTCAAAGAGTTAAAAAAGGTTAAAGTGTTTTGTACGCAACCAGCAGGTGGCATAGTTCTGCAGGTTCCCTCCCCCAAAAGGACGCTCTTTTCTACCTAGCACCTCTATAATGCATTGCAGAAATCTCACTGTGCAATGGGGATTGATGGCAAGTGATGATGTCGTCCTTTGGCTTAGAATTATCCAAAATATGTCTTTGGTGTTTTACTATGCAATGGCAGATGAACTATGGTCGATCAGATTGTGTCCCATCTACTCTATAATAACACAAACACAAAAATCATAAGAATTGTGAAAGTGTACTTTACTAAATCAAATGTACATTTTAGGTAAATGAAACGAAATGCATGAAAAAATAAATTTACACTCAATAATCTCAGGAAGATTCTCTTTGGGATGTGGGCTGGGATTTACAAAGTGGGCTCATTCCTGCTTTCGCCTCTGCAACACTGAATGTCTCTGATTACAATGTATTTGACTATTGTGTAATCAAGATTATTACAACCTATTAAATTACTTACACAATAAAACTTTCACATGCAATGATTACATCCTACCTTATGTGAAAGGCCATATAGTAGAATCAGATCTTACCGAAACATGACAAAAGAAATACAGCATAAAAAAAAAAAACAGAAGCAAAAGGATTTGTGTCCATGCTGGCTACTTCTTCTTGCCCTTGCTGGGCTTGGCTAAGAGCGCGGGATCAATCTGATCTGGGCTCAGGCCTCGGACGGAGAAGAGGCGCGCAGCACGCTCCTGCAGAGTTCCCCCACACTTCATCCCTCGCTGCATCAGTTCAGCCTTCAGCCGCTCCAAACCCAGCGCCTCCAGATCCTCCACACCGTTCACGGAGAGCAGATCCAACGGACCCTCTGACTGCTGAGAGAGAGAGAGAGAGACCCCATCAATAATATTCATTATGTTACACACAAGCACAGAGGACATCAGCCTGGTTTCTGAAGCCTGCTTCTTTAGTTTTGTGCTTGAGCTACAAAGCTAATGTAGCAAACACACAATAGAAGAATACACCCCAAAACATAGTGTTGTCCAAACCTCATGCCTGAATTATGTACGGACAATATTCAGGATTGAAAATTCCTTTTAACAGTTTCAGCTATGCCAGAGGTTCTCAACCTTTTCCAGCCCGAGGCCCACCTGTGCTAAACTACAAAGCATTGCGGCCCACAGAAAAACTAAAATCAGCTTTTTTAAAATACATCTTCATTTTATTTTTCCTAAATGCCGACACTGAAAACCTAAAGATTACGTCCCGAAAAAGATCAGATTGGCCATTCTGGTTGTCAACAGGTTTGGAAAATTTGTTTAAAAAACATGAAACTCTTACAAAAACACATGGTTGTAGTGATGATAAAAAGGGTGGAAAAAGGAAAAAAAAGAATAGAAATGCACAAGTTAGATGTGATTCGGAGCTGCAGTCCATCGCGTTTTCACTGAAAATGCTCCATCGGCTTCCCAAAAGAGTAACTGTTTGGTCCTGATGTCTCTAGTTTTGAGGGTATTTGTGATTAATTTGAAATAAACCTCACTCCACTCACCGGGCTTTTGGATTATCATCGTCACAATCAACAATAATGATAAATCTTGCTTGATACCGGCTTCTTCATTGGTTGATCGGTTTGGGTTTAAACACTCAGGTCACTGATGCTCGACCAAAAGGCGCTCCATGATCCATGAGCTGAAATCAAACTCCTCTCTCTCTGTTATTTTATGGCTCGTCGTTGTTTTTAACGGCAGCTTGTGCTCAGTGTCTAAAGAGTCAGACGTTAAAACAGTCGTTATGCTGACTGTTTGGCGCCGATGTGCTGCTACAGGAGAAGGAAAGCCAGGTCTGCTGATGAATTCCCTCATTTGACCACAGAGCGCGTTTCCTTTAGCAGTGAACTGAACAGGGTCCGGTTGAAGTGGACCGAGACCCGCGGGTTTCTGCTGGACCGGTTCAGCGGTTTGTTGAGGACTCTAATACGGGTGGAGTGTTCACACGCGTCAAAACGAAGCGAACTAAAGGAAAAAGGTGTGATAAGTGCTCACCAAACAAAGCGCCCTGAGAAACTTCATCTCTGGCTCGCTGTCTGCATCGCGAGCTTGCGGCTGCACTGTCTCAGACCGATGACCTTTAATTAGCCACTACTGCGACGCTTTTATTTGTACGTCTCTATTAATATTTAGATTGGTTATACTGTGAAAACGTTTAATTGTTACATTTTTAATTATTAAGTTCATTTTTCCATGTATGTTTTTATAACTTACAGTGACGTTACTGGCCACAATTACTGCCTCCCTCTTCGTACAAGCTTGCGGACAACTAGAGGGGGCTTCACAGCCCACTGGTGGTCCGCGGACCACAGGTTGAGAAACCCTGAGCTATGCAATATTTGAGACAAGTGCATGATGTGTTCTCACCTCTTAACGTTACAAGACTAGTGCCATCATAACTTACTTCGACTTGTATCTTTTAGCAAGAAAACAGCGAGTTTGTGAAGAGTTAGTTCGCAGATTTGAAACAATAAATTCACTAAATTATGTTACAAGTTATTTTCCGTTTAATCTATTCGAGCAGGCTGTAAAATGGAACTTCTTGTTGTCAGCGTCTCCCATGTGCTACTGCTATGCTCTGTCCATTTTGGGGCGGTCAACATCGCAGCTGGACTGCATTCAGTACCATTACAGAGCGGCAATTTAAGAAAGATACTGTCCAAAATTACACTATTTCAAGAATATTACACTCAGAAAGTGGGATAGGATTATATAACAGAGGGAACGCAGTGATCCACACTCATGTCTGTGTGATGAGTATTGTTTGTGTGGTGTTTATGTAGATATGGCTGCGTGGTTGGTGAGAACCTGATGATGTGATTGTTTTTCCTCTGGTTTTATATTAAGCTTATTTCATTTAATAGTCTATTCAGGGTCTTAACTTTATGTAGTAGTTATTTATTTACAGTGATGGTTAAAGCTTTGTAGCTAATGACAGCTGCTGAAAAACAGACTGCAAGTTGCAGACACACCGTATGTTTCCTCATGTGTAAGAATAAAAATCTCACCGCTGGCTGAGCTGCCTGTGTATCTGTACTGTCAGCTGGGCAGATGTGACTCGCTCCCGCATCCTCTGTCTTTGGGAGTACAGCCTTCTCAGTTTCCTGTCCATCGCTGCCGTTCTGCATGTTCTCTTCCTTTGTTGACCGTTCCGTCCCTGCCTCCTCTTCCTCTGCGACCCGCTCTGTCCCTGCCTCCTCTTCCTCCGCGACCCGCTCTGTCCCTGCCTCCTCTTCCTCCGCGACCCGCCCTGTCCCTGCCTCCTCTTCCTCTACGACCTGCTCTGTCCCTGCCTCCTCTTCCTCTACGACCTGCTCTGTCCCTGCCTCCTCCTCTCCCGCTCTCTCTGGGATAGGGGAGCAAGCTGCTGGGCTACTGCTGGAACTGCTGCTGCTGGTACTGGGCTGCTCCTGAGTTTCAGGTTTCTTGCTCCCTCTGCTGGTGGCTGTGGGTACTTTAGTTGGCTGAGAGCTGCAGGAAGCCTCAGAAACAGAAGCGGAGACTGAAGTGGAGGAAGATGCCACAGCTTCACCTTCATCACTGTCCGCATCCGAACTGTCCACGTCGTCCAGACCATCAACACCAGTCCTGAGGGATTCAGTAACATTACATTAGAGCTTGAAATGTACTTGAAATGTTTTATGTAAAGATTATAGATTAAGGACTAAAAGCTTTTGGGATATTGTTTGAAAGAACTGTTTGATGGATAAAACGCTTTCAAACAATAACCAAAACAAAACAAAAACAAAAAAAAAAAATGCAATTTAAACTTATTTTTGGACAGCTAATATGTTTTTTTGTTGCGTTTTTGTGTATTTTGCGTATCTGAAGACAGCTTTCATTGTTGCTACAAGATAAACTAGCAGACATTACCATAAGACATTAATCATATTATTTGGTGTCTGTTTGGTGATGACTGGGTTCAGACAAAATCAACAACCCCACAACTGGGTTTGGATTCTAAGATATTGGTTCCCAATCCTAATCCTGAGACCATATACCACGCAAATTTGATTTTTTTTTCCCTCCTCACCTGGCACACCTGATTAGCTCCTTACACGCTGGGTTTGATGTGCCGGGAAGAGAAAACACAAAACATGCTGAGCATTGGGTCTCTGAGACTTTGTGCTGCAAGGCAGATCGAAATATTCTCAACAGTACAATTAAAATTTATTAATAAATTATTAACAGTACAATCAAAATTTCAGGCCAGATTACATTATACTGGGTACTGTTACAGAATCTTTGTAGGTTCAGTTTACAGGATCTGTAAATCTATAAATAATTTCTGACCTTCTATTAGTAACTTTTGTCATTGCAGTTCATGACACATCTTACCAAAAGCATTTCTTCTTTGTAGTTCCGTGTCCGTTTTTCGTTGCTGGACGTTTGCGACTCGGTCCTTCATCTGCTTGCACCAGGCCACTAGACGATGCCTGCATACCTGGAATAAAGAAACAAAACACAAACAGTTTAAACTCTGCTCTTTAAAAAAAAACAAATATATATATACATATATATTATATATATATATATATATATATATATATATATATATATATATATATATACACACACACACACACACACACACAGACACACACACACATATACATATATATATACACACACATAGTAGTTGTAGTCCATCAGGTAGTACGAACACTAGAGAACAACTCCAGATGTTTGAAATCATGATGTTCAAAATGCCCAAAAGTTGTTTTGTTTGGAGCTGTGATGTCATATTTAAACAATTTATGATTTTACGGTCTGCTTGCTGAAAAATTAAGTCCTCCTAAACGCGTCTCTGGATTTGGAAGCTGCCCCCTTGTTATGTCTACTATCCCTTGCTATTTTTGTCTATATACCATCTTTAGCCTATTCTTTAGAATGAACAGAGTATATTAAAAACACATATTATATAATACAGAGCCTGATCTTTAGGTAATAAACTATTCAGCATCCCATTTTGAAATTTTTGACTTCAACCATGCTTTACGTACGCTAAAAGATGCAGAAAGACACTACTTGATAACTTGTTATACTTGTTGCGATTAATACTTCTTAGAAACACTTATGTTGTTTCTATATCAGTTCTAAAAAAATAATTTGTGCTATAACAACATTTATTGCAAGAGCAGCGCTAAATGTTCAAAATGGTTACATACAATCTTCAGAGTCCACAAATGCTGACTGCGCTTTTAATTGTATAACAACCCAGGATCGATCATCCCCTAAGGCCCCCCAGATAGTCAACATTTCTGCTCCCAACCTCACTTGTGGATAGAGCAGAACTGTGGACCCTTTTGGGGTCTCGAGGTCCAGTTTGAGAACCAGAGATTGACTATGGAATCAAACCTTTCAGTACAGAGTCCTCCAGTCTCTCAGAGAGGTCATGGCACTGCTGTTCGTAGTCCGTATCTGTGAAATAGTGCTTGGGTTCGGCCAGTTTCCTCTGAATGCGCTCCAAACGCCGCTGCTCCTTCTCTGCTTCACGATCTGCCTGCTTCTTTAACCACTCGGCCATCCTACACAAGATCATAAACATGGACCATTATTCATACCTGCAAGGCCCCAACTTTCATCTACAAAGGATGGACCTCATTAGCCACGTTTACATGCGGCCTAATAATCTGACTAGTAGCTCAATCAGAATAGAATACGTCCATGTAAACACCGCAGTCGGAATAGCCTAGTCCGATTGAGGCCATTCGGAATACAGTTTCTATCTGATTGATCGAGGTGGGTAATCCTGTAAATAATCCATTAAATAGAGGAATAATAGCCATGTAAACGCCTGTATCTGATTACATTCCCTAGCGGAAAGTTTAAGTCTGTTCTGATCATGTGCGGTGCGTCATAGTGAATGTTTATACCGTTCAACATGGCGGAGCAGAAACTGGTCTGCAGAGGAGACGAAGTTTATGCTCTGATCTTTAAAAGACGGCGGTGGGACGGACGTCCAGCTTATGTGTCTCAGAACACGACGTCTTCCTCTCAGCCTTCTTTAATAAGGACATGTGAAGGACGTTTCCTGAGTCTGACATCATTTTAAAGCAATTAAAAACACAAGCACTGCTCACTGCTGCTCATCTCATCATCACTTAGGCGATGCTCATTGTCATGGTAACGTCTATACTAAGTGGTTCTCTACGCGTGCACGTCATTTTGGATCTGAGTACTTGTAGTGAGCATGTAAACACAGAATTTCCATCAGATTGTTGAGTACAGTGAGAATAAACACCTCAGTCTTAATCTGTAATCGGAATACATTCAATCGGACTGGCAAAAATCTTTGTATGTAAAACACAGACAGTCACAAATATATAGTGAAAGTGAGATATAAAGGCGGTATGTACTCACTCTTTTTCATGATTGACATCTCGAAGTCTTCGGCCACTCAGATCCCTACAGGCCTCACGGTTGGTGGTTTTTTCAATCTGCGCCCCAAGCGCCCTCAGCATGGAGCCAAAGCCTGTCACCCAAATACAGAACGGCAGCAAAGTGAGCCCACGGATATCAACGTAATGTGCTGTTAACAATGACGCCTAAAATATACTGGTATGATACGTTACCCCCTTTGCCACCGCAGAGCCGAGGCTCCAGACGATACACAGCTCCAGCCTGGAGTTTGTGGTCGTGATCCGATATCCTCCCATTGTTCTTCACATAGCAGTCTAAAGACGAAACACCCTAAATGGAAACACATATTACTAGATAAATACTTACTTGCTTAAATTGTGCTGCATATCCAGAATCCTGGAACACACAGTAGACTTAACATCTCACAAAACGAACATAGCATAAGCTTAAACTTAATAAAACGTACAACACAGATACCCCCATGGACCCTCACAGGGCAGATATCATTTGGGTGGTGGATCATTCTCAGCACTGCAGTAACACTGACGTGGTGGTGGTGTGTTAGTGTTGTGCTGGTACGAGTGGATCAGACACAGCAGTGCTGCTGGAGTTTTTAAACACTGCGTCCACTCACTGTCCACTCTATTAGACACACACTCTTACTTTGTAAGTCCACCTTGTAGATGTAAAGTCAGAGACGATAGCTCATCTGCTGCTGCACAGTTTGTGTTGGTCATCCTCTAGTCCTGCATCAGTGGTCACAGGACGCTGCCCACAGGACGCTGTTAGCTGGATATTTTTGATTGGTGGACTATTCTCAGTCCAGCAGTGACACTGAGGTGTTTAAAAACTCCAGCAGCACTGCTGTGTCTGATCCACTCAGACCAGCACAACACACACTAACACACCACCACCACATCAGCGTTCCTGCAGTGCTGAGAATGATCCACCACCCAAATAGTACCTGCTCTGTGAGGGTCCATGGGGGTCCTGACCACTGAAGAACAGGGTAACAAAGTATGCAGAGAAACAGATGGACTACAGTCTAATGTACAGTACAGTATATTTGAGCCCCTATTCCATTAGGCACGGTCCCATCAGAGAGAGGTGCCTCTCTTTCCTTTTTGGAGGTATAGGTTTGGCTCCTGTGTTCACCCAAAAAGAGAAGAAAAAGCTGCTGCAATTTAGAAACGTTTTTCTCTTTAGTTTTGGGTTCATGTTTCTAATAAAAACACACTGAAACGCCAAGATCTTCCATCAGCCTGAACCCATACTCAAGTAAAAGCATTGCTACTTCTGTGAAATAATGACTCAGGAAGAACAAACAGAACCTGATTAGGTCTAAAAAGACTCGAGTACTGAGTTTCCTGGAGAACTGCAGTGGAACATCTCAGGAGCTGAAGGTTGCCAGGTTTGTTAGGTGCTGTTTTCCTCTTCACTATTCTTTCTCTCGGTGCGAAATAACATGCTAAAGGTCTGAAGTGAGCGGCCAGAAAAAACACTTGGTTCGTGTTTAGGGAATAAATGTGAACTGAACTGAACTGAACTGAGGAAGATGTGCTTTAAGGTTGACTAAGCTACTTTCCTCACAAATGTGCTGTTACTTCAATAAAACAATGACTTAAATATTAGTAAAACGCCGAAAAACTAAAGTATGAGTAAAATTATCTTTTAAAAACACTCAGTAAAGTTAAAAAACCAACAAAATGTTGCTTCAGTATCGTAGTAACAGTTAGGTTAGCTGGGTTAGCTAACCAAACAAAACACTGAATTAGAGCCAACGCCGCTAAACTAACACGGCTGAACTCACCTCTTTAGAGGCGAGCAGGTCCAGCAGGTCACCGACAGTGGACTCGTGTTCCACCGTGAGATTAATGAACCGAAAACTGGGAGAAATCACGAAAACGTCCATGTTGTTTTGTTGCTGTAGCCGAAACCACACCGTCTGCGTTCACTGACCGTTACGCAACGCGTAAATGCGTCACTACTGGAGCCGCGAAGCAACAACAAAATAAAAGTCCACAGCGTGACGGGTTTCTAATCCACTCTCAGAACAGCGTGTTGGCAGAGAACCTGTAGGGAGGAGAATTTCCACTCTGCAAGCGAGTCCAAAATGAATGGGTTCAGATGGAGCATTTGAGCAAAATCATAGTTTATAAATGCTTAAACATTTTTATTGTAAAAGAATACAATCACTGCCTGAACACAGAGCAGCATAAAACATTTCAACACCGCTATTATATTTTTAAGAGCTTTTAAACTCGAGTTATAGGAGCTTAAAACGGCGCCTCATGTAGGTCCATGACGTCAGTGAGCGCGAACAGCCAATGAGCTGCTCCGCTCGCCTATCAATCATTACTCTCTAGCACTAATGCCCGCCTCCTGCTGCCCAAAACCCGTTTGCTGTAGAAAAAAGGAAACATATTCGTAAGTTTTCTTTGTTTTTTAGTGAAATCCATCCTTCTACTTTCTAAAATTAAAGAAACGTTTAGGGCGAGTGATTAGGAAATATTTTAACTTTTTGTTTTTAGCCATTGAGCTCCGTTCACTCCCATTCATTGAGGACTCACTCGCGGGCGCCCTCTGCTGATTAGCAGTCCTGTTTTTGATATAACGGGGGAAATAGGAAGAGGCCAGGCTCGTCATAAACCGGCTCTGGTGTCGCTTCTCAAAACGAAACTAGATTATATTATTATTGAGCGCAAACTGAGACGGAGGTTGAGCGTCCTCGTACGGTAAAAGCTACATTTACAGAGACTGCAGAGAACAATAGCTGAATAAACTCAGCACAGACTGGCGAAATTGGGAGAACAGCTTTTAACGTTAGCTATGCTAAAAACAAAGCTCTAATATAAGCAATGTTAAATGTTAAAATAGTGATAAATCTGGAAAAAATGCCAGACAATGACCTGCTTGTACATCTTCACCATTAATCTATTTTAAATATATATTTTAGACCACAAAACTATAGCAAAACAAAATCTCAGATATCAGGCAGCATATTTATAACAATTTTGTACAGAAACTTTCTGTGAGGGAGCTTTCAGATGTGAGCTTTTTGGTAAGTTTCTCTAGAATGTAACATTTTACACCAAACCACTCTGAATGACTTAACTGCTAATGATTTATTAAGGCAGAATTTTTGAATAATCGGTAGAATTCCCCTTTAATTGGCTTTAGAACCAATCTGGCAACCCTGTATGATGATTGACCTTTGATTGTTTGGGATAGTTTGATACATTTTGGGTGGGTTTTCAGGAAAAGGTCAGGAACTTAACTTAGGCCTAAGTGTATTAATTTGTGGCTTTAATGTAGTAACTTGTGGCCTCAATATATTAATTTATAGCCTCAATATAGCACTCTTTGTCCTCAATACAGTAATGTGTGGCCTCAATATAATTTGTGGCCCCAATATAGTAACTTGTGGCCTCAATATATTAATCTGTGGCCTCAGTGTATTAATTTGTGGCCTCAATATAGTAACTCATAGCCTCAATATAGTACTCTGTATCCTCAATACAGTAATATGTGGCCTCAATATAATTTGTGGCCCCAATATAGTAACTTGTGGCCTCAATATATTAATTTGTGGCCCCAGTGTATTAATTTATAGCCTCAATATAGCACTCTATGTCCTCAATACAGTAATGTGTGGCCTCAATATAATTTGTGGCCCCAATATAGTAACTTGTGGCCTCAATATATTAATTTGTGGCCTCAGTGTATTAATTTGTGGCCTCAATATAGTACTCTGTATCCTTAATACAGTAATGTGTGGCCTCAATATTTTCATTTGTGGCTCAGTATAGTAACTTGGGGCCTCAATAAATTAATTTATGGTCCCCAATATAGTAATTTGTGGCCTCAATATATTAATTTGTGGCCTCAGTGTATTCATTTGTGGCCTCAATATATTAATTTGTGGCTCAATATAGTAACTTGTGGCCTCAATATGTTAATTTGTGGCTCAATATAGTAACTTGCGGCGTCAATATATTAATTTATGGCTCCAATATAGTAGTTTGTGGCATCAATATAGTAACTTGTGGCCTTAATATAGTCATTTCTCGTCTGAATGTATTAATGTATGGCTCAATATAGTACTCTTTGTCAGTACAGTAATGTGTGGCCTCAGTATAATTTGTGGCCCCAGTATAGTAACTTGCAGCCTCAGTATATAGATTTATGGCCCCAATATAGTAATTCGTGGCATCAGTGTATTAATTTGTGGTCTCAATATAGTAACTCATAGCCTCAATATACTGCTCTGTGTCCTCAATACAGTAATGTCTCTCAATATGGTCTCAACATAATTTGTGACCCCAATATAGTAACTTGTGGCCTCAATATATGATGGGTTTTGGACATGTTTTGGTCTGTACTCTATTGGGTAACTTTAGAAGCAATCCGGCAACCCTGAATCTGTACAGTAGGTGGCGGTAATAACAAACCCACCCCAGCGCTCAGTCTGAATAGAGCCCTAGAAGAAGAAACTGTAGTCCAGCGTGAGTGTGTTCATCATGGCGTGTGTGAGCTGGAAGGTCGTGCGGGCTGTGAGACCCAGAGCCTTCATTAACTTCACAAAACCTAAAGCTTTTACTCCAGGACCGCTTTACAGCACCGACGCAGGCGCCTCCACGGGAGAAGACCCGGCAGGAGCGGCTGAGAAGCCGAAGAAAGGCTTTGCTGCCGCTTACGAGCTCCACTCTGACCTGAAGCTCCAGCAGCAGGAGGAGCGCAGCGGCGGCGGCAGCGCGGTGCAGCCGGCCCGCAGGAGCTCCGCCCGGCAGGACGCGTCCTTCGCCTCGCTGCTTCGCCACTCCCCGCTCATGCAGATGGGCCCGGCCAAGGACAAAACAGTCATCGGCAAAATCTTCCACGTGGTCCAGGACGACCTGTACATCGACTTCGGCGGCAAGTTTCACTGCGTGTGCAAGCGGCCCGAGGCGGACGGTGAGCGGTACCGGCGGGGCAGCAGGGTGAGGCTGAGGCTGGAGGACCTGGAGCTCACCTCCCGCTTCCTGGGCGGTGGCACCGACACCACGCTGCTGGAGGCGGACGCCACTCTGCTGGGACTGGTGGAGAGCAGAGAGGGCAAAGCGAAGGAGTAGCGATGTTCGGGGGCCACGCACTTTTGGACAGTATTTATAAGAGCCATATTGTATATTTTTCTTTTCCCCTTTGAGGTCCACTTGTGGCATTTGTGTAATTTATGCATCAAAACAGTCATAGTTCATTTTTACATGATCATTCTGCAATCTCTTAGAATAAACTGCCTGTTTTGCTACTGTGCCTTTAAGACTGATCTATGTAAATGACCCCTGTTATGATTGGCTGTCCTGTATTGTGTTTGTATTTATTCATTTGCCATCAAACGGCAGCAGGCTGAATAGGTGGATGTACTTGAGTGTTCCAAACACATTGAATTCAAAACAGGCCTCAGTCTCTCTTCATGAACTGGGTCCTGAATGGTACGTTTTAAAACAAAGTTTACTGACCTTTACAAAGTTTCCAGGGCATTTTTAGATAATACAAGAATTAACATGATGGTACTTTTTGGTTTGGTTTCAGATGTTAGAGAAACTTCAATGCACACTTTTCAAAGATGGATTGCTGCTTTACTGCTGGGCATAAAGTAAATGGGAAAACTTGCTCAAACAAGCTCCTATGTATTGCTAATCCACCGAGGCAGTGTTGTTAGATATTTGTGCTATTATTTTCATCTAATAGTAAGACTTGATGCACGGAACAAATAGTGTATCTCACGGACGGTTTTACTGCTCCAGGCTTGTTTTGAATGTTGCAGTGCATTTCTGTGCATCTTCACTTCCCTTTTTGCTCAGTTAACTTCTTAAAGTACTTAATGATCATTTAGGGTTCTGGCTCAGATGTCCAAGAATTGTGGTCCAACCCAAGGTTAGATGCCATTTTGTGCCTCTTTGGAACCTTATGTATGGTTTTTGCACCTTATCTTAAGAAACACACCTTCTACCAAAAATCCCATCAGAACTTTGTTAAATTCTCATTTTTTTTCATCCTTTGGTTTCTTTGTGTGCATCAGAGAGGGAAAAATGTTAGGTTACTCTGTGCAGTCTACTGCATACAAACCATTTGGACCAATTTGCAACATATTTTTAAAAAAAGAAGAAAAAAGGTTAAAGTCTGTTGGATAATCACTTTAATATTAAACAGCACAGCATAAGAAAAACATCTAAAATTTAAAACGTCTCTGTGTAAAATGGCAGAATGGAATGCTAAAGATGAGTTTTGGTTTATTTGACCACAAATGTGATGCCATCTAGCCCCAGATGAGGCCTACACTTAAGGACTTACAAGGACTAGGCCTAATTCGGGTCTGGAAAACAGGCCCTGGATGGTATTTCACAAAGCAGCGTTTCTTGGTATACTGGATAGCTTAAGCTAAATGTTGAGGATTGTCCAATAAAAATGTCTCTTAGCTCTTCCCCTGTTGGATAGGATTTTATTTTGGCCTAAGTTTTCAGGCTAACCAAGAAATCCTGCTTTGTGAAGTAACACCCAACCCCCATATATCTAAAGACATACTTTTTTCAGCTTCATGCATACATTGGATTTCAAGGCCCATACAGTATGTGCATCCTTTCATATGAGTCAGTCTCATCTGTTAGTTTCTGTCCACCCCAAACCAGAGATAATGTATTAATATCAGCTGTCGAGAGGAGAAAACAGGTACAGTGCTGGATTAATTTACTCTGAATGTGATGCAGCCATACATTAAAGAAATATTCATCTGAAGAGTAAATACATTGATCGTACTGCATAGTCTAAAGTCACTAAGCTCTTAATTTTGCATAGAAGGTATGATTTTAAGCCAAAATATTCTAAAGCAGTGGTCCCCAGCCCCCCTGGCCATCTACTTTTTTTGCAGAGTTTAGTTCCAACCTGTATCTAACATGCTACCTCAGTCTTACCTAGATCTAATGCACCTAATCCAGCCAATCAAGGACTTCTGGAGAAGTTAATTAGCTGAAGCAGGTGTGGAACATTGCAGTTGGAACTGGACTCCGCAGAAAGGTAGATCTCTAGGACTAGGGTTGGTGACCGCTATTCTTAGGAGTCTGCAGTGATTTTACATATCATTAAATTTGGTGAAATACTATAGTGGGTTGAACAGGCATTTTTGGATTGGATGATAAAGAAAACTGAAGATTTGAGGATGCTGTTAGGGTGCTGAGCTGATCCTGCCTTGGTTAAACGTTTACGGCAGTCCAATCTTCTAGATGAGGCATGGAACCGTGGCTGATTCAGCACTTAACAGCAGATGGTCAACTGCAGCCACTGTGGTCAAGAGAGAAGGTAAAATGAACAGTTTGGTAAATAATGCACAAACCTTTACAACAGGAGAATGTAATAATGCAGACTTTGTGCAGAACCTACACTATATACCAGACGTCTTTAAATCCAACCTTGAATCCACATTCCAGTACTGTATTTTATAATCTTTGGTAGTTACCTGGCCACCTAGTGTCCTACATAATGCAAAACCCAGGGCCGGAAACCTGTCAGGTTTGACGATTCAAAAAACTGGTTCAGTTCCAAACTAGTTTTTTATAGAAATAACTATTAGAGAAAACCCGAAGGACTGAAGTGCTACATGCAGTAATTACAGTGTTTAAAGGTAAGAGGCCAATCAAGTTGAAATGGTTGGCTAGTCTATAGTTTATGTAGCACATATACTAGCCAGCTAACATAATAGCAAACGTAAGTAAGCTGGCAACTTAAATCATGTGTCAGGCTCCAGTCCTCGTGGGCCAAACACTGCAGACTTTAGCACACTGCCTTATTAAACACTCCTGATTCAGCTCATCAGCTTAATTAGTGAGGCCTTCATGAGCTCAATTCAGAGCATTAGATGAGGGTAAACGTTAATCTCTACAGTACTTTGGCCTGGAAGGTCCCCAGTTTGACATGCCTGGCATAAACTATAATAGCTATTATGCTAGTTAGCATACTCACTATCAAGCTGTTGTGTCATTTAAAAACACATTTACTGCATATCGATGTTATTGGAAGAAAACCTCGTATCTCCGAAATGGTAACTTTACAGGAAAAGGAAAAAACATACTTTACTTTTAATGTAAGTCAGTGGAACCATGAGGTTATATATGTCAAGCTGATAATGTTTAAATAGTGATAAATTTGAAAAAATACTGTTTTGGGTACTATTTTTTCCTTACAACGCCCTGCACGCCCTTTGTGTTGTTTGGGTTGCCGGTGTTGCGTCACACGGTCTCAGAGCTCATGTGAGTAATGTTATTCATCAGAGGAGCTGTGATACATCACAGTTGCACCGCACTGTCCTACCCAGTAAACTGGTGAGCAGAGTAGCAAGTAGTTCGTTGTTGACGGCATCAATTTCCATTCGCCCTGGGTTCTTCTGTTTCGACACCGCTGCATCTCAGTTGTGTATTCTGGTTCAAATTGATTTGGCTCTCCGACATTTTGGAAACAGACCTTATCGATGTCCTCTTTATACTCTGCCATCTTTCAAAAATGGGTAAGAAAACTGTACAAAATAAACTGTAGACAAAAGCTGCTGCCGGTGTTGCATCCAATTCAGTTCCCCTTCAAATTCACGTTCCCTTTGACGAATCAGGTCTTCAGGTGGTACATTCACTGAACAGAAAACAACGCCAAGCAACACTGGAACTACGGAAAGCGAAAAGGTTTAAAGAAAGATTGAACGGCCTTGTGTTTTCACCCAATCCCCAATATGAATCACCAAAGACAAGACGGCATAATTGAGATTCCATGATAAATATTATCTTCAATTCGAGTAAACAGTCGTTCCGATAAATACTTTTTATACTGTTCGTCGCTAATTGGGTGAATACAGCTGCTGTACAAACCTTCTTTGAACCTTTTAGCTTACCGTAGTTCCAGTGTTGCTTGCCGTTGTTTCCTGTTCAGTGAATGTGCCACCCGAGGACCTGATTTGTCAAAGGGGACGTGAATTTGAGGGGGAACTGAATCGGATACAACACTGGCGCTAGCCGCGTCGAACCGCTGTAGCTACAGGCTAGTAACTATGAAAGCACGTTAGCTGTTGCGCATTGATCTCAGTTGAGAATGCGGTTTTGACAGGAAACACGGAAATAATCCTGAAGTAATAGTTTATACTAAAAGTACGTTTTAGGCCAAAACTTCATAACAAAACTATCACAAAACAACAGGTTTCAAGCAATGCATTCATAACTGTTTTGTGTAATAACTTAATAGCATGTAGCTTTTAGAGCCATTAAATACTTCGGACATCTGGTTCCCAGTACTATAACGGTGAACGATTTTGACTCTGTACATTTGTCTGGAAAAGCCCATTTCAAACCAAACCACTCTGAATGATTTTATTTACATCTAAACAGTTTAATGATTAAGTAATTTTGCAAAATTGGTGGAGTTCCCCTTTAAAATGTGGGCCATCTGGGAGGCCATGAGGACCAGTTTGGGAACCACTGGTCTACGCAGTCTTGTGTAAATGCATTAGCAAATAAATCACCTCAGAGATGTTGAGCTTAGCGAACCCAGTCCCATCCTTGTCCAGTTTCTTGAAGGCTCCTGTGTAGGAAGATTGCATTTGAACCCATTAATGTAATTCACTTTACCAGGACATGAAAAACACATATATGAACTAAAATGGCAAACAAATGTACTAACATAATAACAGCAGATACATACTTAGCACAGTTTCCAGTTTGACCAGACAAGAGATGAAGTTATCGAAGTCGATTACCCCTTTGTCAGCGTATCGAGCCACCAGCAGCTGGTTCAGCTTGTTATTGAGCTCATAACCTGGAAAAGACGAAAAGTGTAGATATCTAGCAATAGAGAGACCTGCATATCCATGTAGACCATTAGGAAGGAGTCAGACCTGCTCCAAGGAGGCTATTTCTATTATGCAATGAATGCAGGAACAGATGGGGTGTAAACACCTAAAATGCATGATGACCTGAGGGAGATGCTGCCTTACCAGCTGATTCCAAGGCCAGACGTATCTCATAGGAGTTCATGGTGCCTGACTTGTCCAGATCAAACTTGCAGAAACTTTCCTACAAAGACAGAGAAGGAAGACCGAGTGAAGCAAATGTAAAGAAATCTTCACACATGGTAAAGGTGCCAGTGCAGAGAAAACTCTGAGTAAAGAACACTCTCTCACCATCCACTTCTTTAATTTATTCCACAGGATCTGGAACTCCACCAAGCCCAGACGTTCGCTTCCATCTGTCTGATAGTCACCAAAAGTCAAGACTATTTAGTAACCAGAGATCTGTCCATCTGTTTTTAAAAACAGCCCTGTGTGGGCATTTCAGACTGCATGGTGGTGAACCCTGTCAATGTAGGAATTTGGTGAACACATTACACAAACCCTCTTAGCGTTTGCTAAATTATAGTATTGAGGACAAGTGGCTATCATAGGTGAAAACAGAGGTCACTAATAGGTGGACCACGGTCCGAGTCCGGACGCGGATGCTGTCCTATGCGGACCAGGACCTATAACTGATAAACTATGGAGAATTATTTAATTTCTACAGGGTGGTCCTATTTCAATCAGCGTAGCTTTTCTACTCTTTTCGACCCTTCTACACGGGAAACTGTATGTATATCTCAGTATATGCTAATGTACCAGTACAGGCTAAAAATATAATACAAACAAAAACGCAGACTTACTTTGCTCTGCTTTAAGCTTTAGCTCAGCTATAGCTGCTTTTCTCGCATCTCCAGCAGGAAACTTTTACACAAAAGTAGAACAGTTTCTTGTAAAATGTCTCTTAATGATCTATTTTTTGCGAAGCTGAAGTCGCTCCTCATTCGCCAGCTTCTTGTTCAAAGGTGCTCAGGCACCATTTAAGGTGGAACGAGAAAATTCGAACAAGAAGCTGACTTCAGCTTCATGGTTTTTTTTAGTGTTTGACAGTTTCTCGTTGCAGATTAAACCAGCTGGAGTGATTATAAATTCTTCTTCCATACTTCCGTCGTTGAGAACCAGGGCTTTTGCGCTATGTTGCACACTTTGCACAATTTTACCGACACTTATTAGAAAATATCATCACAGTATGGACAAAACTTTGTGTCTCTATAATTGTAGCTTTATAGGAGGAGGAACATTTTCTTTGATTTTCTATGCAAGTTCATGAAAAAGTGATTTTGGACCAAATCTGTTAGAACAGGGGTCGACAACATGCGACTCTTTTACTGCCCTGTTGTGGCTCCACAGCAGAATTAGAGTTGTAGAAAAAAATTAAAATAAACCTCATTTACAGTAAAATACAGGTCTCCTGATCGTTCAACACAGCGTAACAATAAATGGTCTTAAACGCTGGAGTTAATGTAGAACTGCTAATTCACCCTTTAACCCTGAAGGTTGGTGTGCAGACAACAGTCTCGCCTAGCTAGTAACTAACGAAAAGGCAAAGACAGAGATTTAAGATGAACGTCGATTATTTGGATACTTATTTGTTTTTAGAATTATTCCAGCTGTTTTCCTGATACATTTAATCTGCAATGAGAAACTGACAAAAACTAAAAAAAATGCGAAGCTGAAGTCAATTTCTCATTCGCCAGCTTCTCGCTCGAAGTTTCCCGTTCCACCTTAAATAGTGCGGCAGTTCTGGCGCCTCAGACACCATTTAAGGTGGAACAGGAAAATTCAAACAAGAAGCTGGTGAATGAGAAGCGACTTCAGCCTCGTAAAAAGTCCAACGTTGAGAGACATTTTACAAGAAACTGTTCTACTTTTGCAGTAAAGTTTCCTGCCAGAGATGCGAGAAAAGTAGCTATAGCTGAGCAAAGTGAGTCTGCGTTTTCATTTATATCATGTTTTTTATCCAATACTAACACATCAGCACATACTGAGACATATTTACAGTCAAGATGGTAAAATGGACATAAAATGTTATGGCTCCCAAGGTGTCTCTCTAAGTTTCTCTGTAAGTTTCTCTAGAAAGGCACATTTCACACCAAACCACTCTGAATGATTTTGCTTACGTCTAAACCACTGAATGACTGAATAATTTTGCAAAATTGGTGGAGTTGCCCTTTAAGGAAATAAGCTGACAGCATCTTTAAATTCAGAGTTGTCGTAGTGAGAGATGACTGGTTGGTTGAGTGCGTGTGGAAGGATACGTCCAGGAGCTCCACGATACTCTTGCACGCCTCCAAACTGAAACCGTCTGTCTTTAAATCACCGACTGAAAAACACAGAGTTACACACTCACACACTGTCTGTCTAATAGCACCACTGGAACAAAGTAAACTGGACTGATAGTGATAATAATAGTATGCTGGCTTTACGTCGAGGCACTATGTGAGTGTTCAGAAAGCCCCTTAACTCCTCAGCTGATATCTCCTTATCCTAGAGAGAGAGAGAGAATTAACTTCAGCAAAGACACACAGCTGAGTCACACCATTAACACACACTATAAAACCCTTACCTCTCCAGAAAGACTGGCAAACAGGGTTTTGAATGAGGGGTCAATGTCTCGCTCTGTGATATCGCTCTGCAAGGTTTCATTAAAGAAAAACACGAAACATTAAAATCCTCTCTTGGCAGTACAACTGGGTGTGCTATATTCATTCATAAATGAAGTTCCAATCAATAGCATTTTGAATTCGGCCATATTCACAAGCACATCTGGTATCTGTCAAACAGATGCACTGATAAACTTTGATGGTTTGTTGTATTGCAGTGCTATCTTGGCTAATCTTAGTAAGTGCAAAGTTAAGTGACCCTTATTAGTCCCACAACTGGGAAATTTCACCTCCGCATTTAACCCATCCGTGCAGCGAAACACCACATACACACTAGTGAGCACACACACACTAGGGGGCAGTGAGAACCATCCACAGCACCCAGGGAGCAGTTGGGGGTTGGGTGTCTTGCTCAAGGGCACTTCAGTCACGACCTGTCAGCTCAGGGGATTGAACCAGTGACCTAACCTCCAGTCCACAACCGCCCCCAACTGACTGTAACTGTTTGTTACATTTTTACAGATTTGTAAAAACACAAAAATGTAGTATTAGTTTATAACTATTACAGTAATGCTTAAAGTGATGCTCTAAATTCACAAAAAAGAGTCAGATAATTAAGAAAATTGCAAACGTTTGTTCATTTTACCTGAACATTTATTGAACTTTCATGGCATTAATTATTGTTATGAATTAAAATGTAAAAAATAAATGTATTTGTTAACATATGGTTACATGTTACACTATTATTAGTATTATTAGTATTATATTAGTAGTAGTATTAGTTGCAGTAGTAATATTAGTGGTAGTATTGCTAATAGTAGTGGCCTAAGTGGTTAAACCGGTAGCTAAAGTATGACATCCTGGCACAAATTTGCTGTAAATCGGACTGTGGATGGGCCAGTTTTGGTTGTTCTGGTTAGTAACAGGGTAAGTGTTGGCTTAGTGTGGGCAATGATGGCTGAGATCTAGGCCAGTGCAGATCCAGACAGCCAGATCCAGCTGCACTGCTAAAATGGTATCTTGTTAAGTAAAATGATCTTAAATATAGTCGATAAATCTAATAATTCTCCTGTTGATATTGTTGTTAGTTTAAATTAAGATTATTTACCTTATTTCTAGACATTTTTTTACTTGTTTTAAGTAATTTCTTTAGGTAAAACTATCTCACTATATTGGCATAATTTTGCTCGTGTTAAGAAATGTGCTTGAGACCAGCACAATTATCTGCCAGTACAGTGAGATAAATTTATTTAATAAAATTAACCAAAACAACTACAACCCCATTTCCAAAAAAGTTGGGATGCTTGCAAAATGTAAATAAAAACAAAATGCAATGCTGTGCAAATCATTTAAACCTTCTATTTCATTGAAAATAGAACAAAGACAACATATCAAATGTTGAAACAGAAATTTTACTGTTTTCTGAAAATAAATGCCCATTTTTAAATTTAATGCCAACAACACATTCCAAAAAAGTTGGGACGGGGGCCTGTTTACCACTGTGTTTCATCACCTTTTACCAACACTCTGTAAGCATTTGGGAACTGAGGAGACCTTCACAGATGTGCCAGTCACCCGTGCCATGTGCACTAATGCCCCCTATACCATCATTAATACTGGCTTTTGAATTGTGCACTGATAACAAGCTGAGTGGTCTTTAGCCCAGATGACACAGTGTCCATGATTTCCAAAATGAATTTCAGATGTTAATTTGTTGGACCACAGGACACTTTTCCACTTCCCCTTAGTCCATTTTAAATGAGCCCAAAGAAGGTGGCAGCATTTCTGGATCCTGTTTATATATGGTTTCATATGGGACAGACTGGGTCAGATCCGACAGCCAGCCAGTTTTGGCATACTGGGTTTACATTTCATACATTTTTTACTACCTGTGCAAGGACACATATAGCCTGTATGCACCTTGCATTAACATGTGTTTCGTGTCCAGATCGTAGGTTGATAAACTATGACCAGATTCCGTTTACACTTTCGACCATATTAACACCTGAATAAATGACATTACCCCACCACACCGTGTGAAGCTAATCCTGTCCAAATAGTGCCATAGTTTAAAGCAATATTAATTGAGTTTGCTAACCTATTATTCAATACTGCTTCACTTTAGCAAGGCGATTTAAACATTAGCTGTCATTATAGATATTTAGAGTCGGACTGTATGGCTTTGGATTTGAGCTGACAGCATGGATACGTCAAAGTACAAGTACAATAACTCTGCAACTCATCTTTTTACAATGCGTTGCTGTCCGTTTTCACATTATACACGAACTACATGAAATCCTGATGAGAGACTACATGGCAACGGCAGCCTGAACACCTTAAAAAAAAAGAAAGCAATTTCAACATGTAGCGCCCTGATATGTAAACTCTTACCTCTTCACTCAGGGTGAACGACACGTCATTGCCCAGCTCTCTAAAATAAATGAGAAAGTAAAAGGAGCATTATAACGTTTATTCAATTAGTGCAGGGGTCATCAGTCTTATCCACAAAGGACCGATGTGGCTGCAGATTTCATTCCAACCAAGCAGGAGCTGATCTCATATAACTAATCACAGTGTTTGATCAAAGTGTCGGTTTTTTCTTTTATTTTCATAACACTCTGGAGTGTCGCTCTGAAAAACCTCCGTTTGGAGGGTCATGTAGCCCTAAAACTTCGCCCTGCCCTCTATCTCAACAAGAATCGGGACACCCTACCCCTAGACGTGGAAACAGAGGGCTAAGGGCTAAGTGGTAAATGGGATTGGGCCTTAGTGTCTCATTATATGGAGAGTGTTTCTCATAATTCTGACTTAATATGTCATATTTATGAGATGAGTCATTATTATGAGATAATCAGTCATAATAGTGTCTTGTTATTATTAGATAGGAAGTTGTTAAAATATTGACTTATTGAGATGTCATTATTATGGGAAACTTTCTCTTTCTCATGACTTACTATCATGACTTATGGCTACATATTTTTTTTTCAGTGGTGGTAACAGGCTGCCATAGCTCATAGCTAAAACTGGAACAAAAAATCAAAGGGGAACTCCACTGATTTTTCAAAAATTCTAGACGATTGAATGGTTGGGATGTAAATAGTCATTCAGAGTGGTTTGGTGTGAAATGGTCCAACCTAGAGAAACTTGCCAAGTCAGAATTGCTCCAAATTGGTGATAGGAACCAAACGTCTGAAGAGTTTAACCCCTCTGAGAGCTCCTTCACAGAATTTTTTTAGATAGTTAGATATATGCTGCCTGATGTCTGATACATTGCTTTATGATAGTTTTGTGATAAAGTTTTGGCTTAAAATGTATTTAAATCCATGTATTTCAATCCATTCATGGTGGAAGGGCACACAATACAACTGCAGGGTGTTGTGAGTCAAAATAGTCACCGAAGAAAACTTATTTTTTCAGATTCATGACTATTTTATCATCTTCAGCATAACATATAAAAACTCATAAGATGTGTGGGTTCACTGGTAGTTTTGGATAGTAAATAAAATGGCTATATTTGTGTTGTAGTCATGGCGACCCCTGGTTCCTATCACCACCACTGTAAAGAGTCTCTACAATCAACCACTTCACACCAAACTGCTCTGAATGACTCTGATTACATCTCACGGACTGAATGATTCAGAAATGTGTAAAATTTGGTGGAATTCCACTTTATGGGTGGATTGTGATTTTTTGAACACTGCCTCTGGCAGCCTGTCTTACTGTTGCTAAGCAACAACAGCATTGTAATTGTCAATTAGCTGTGCCAGCAAAATATTTCAACGCCTACAAGCAGAAAGCTTAACTACTACTTCTATTAACTAGCAAAAACAGGCTAAACTAAAAGTGAGCTGCTTTTTGTTTGTCATGTTTTTGATCCAAGAAGGACTGCAATCAAGTATCCATCCTACATTAGCTTACAGCTGTCACTGAAGACCCACCTTAGCTTTGATCTGATTGGTCAGTGCAGAAAAAAAGTGTGTGATGTAGACTACTTGACCGGTTCGAGTGTCCAACTCAGGGCACTCGGAGTGCTCCGTGTAAAAGACAAGTGCAGATCAGCAAACATTCTAAACACGTTGTTGAGAACAACTGGAAATAAGCATGTCGGCCCGCAAAAGATGCTGAACTGTGAAGGTGAGAGTATGTCTAAATATATAAATAAAAGTCACTCACTGTGTCTTGGACTGTTTCTCAGTGAAGACTCTCAGAACAAAGTCGGCCTCCTTGCTGGGTTTGAAGGTGGAGGGAACGATCAGATAATCTCCTGGAGGCAGCCGGAGTCGTGCACTCACCTCCCGGTAGTGGGCAAAGGCCTCAGAACGTGCACAGGAAGAGTGGCGCAGGAAAAAATCCTTTTGCAGACGCACACTTGGAGAACCGCGTAACTATGACATGTGAACACAAACCAGGGTTGAGGAAAGCTGTGGGAATGTGCCTAGCTGTAACATGCACTATATGGACAAAAGTTTTGAGACACCTACACATTACACCTACAGGAGCTTTTATAAATCCCATTCTAAATCCATAGACATTAATATGGAGTTGGTCCCCCTTTGCAGCTCTAACAGCTTCCACTCTTCTGGGAAGCTTTCTACAGGATTTTGGAGAGTGTCTGTGGGAATTTTTGTCCGTTCATCCAGAAGAGTATTGGTGAGGTCAGACACTGATGTTGGATGAGAGGGTCTGGATCACAGTCTCCGTTCTAGTTCATCCCAAAGGTGTGTGATGGGGTTGAGGTCAGGACTCTGTGAGGGCCAGTCAAGTTCTTCCACACCAAACTCACCCAGTCAGACCTTTATGGAGCTGCTTTGTGCACTGGGGCTCAGTCATGCTGGAACAGAAAAGGTTCTTCCCCAGACTGTTCACACAAAGCTGGAAGCGTACAATTGTCCAGAATGTCTTGGTGCTGAAGCATTAAGATTCCCTCCACTGGAACTGAGGGTTCTAGACCAACCCCTGAAAAACAACCCAATATCATCATCCCTCCTCCACCAAACTTTACAGCTGGCACAGTGCAGTCAGACAGGTAACGTTCTGCTGGCACTCGCCAAACCCAGACTCGTCCATCAGACTGACCGATAGAGTAGCTTGATTGGTCACTCCACAGAACACGTTTCCACTGCTTCAGAGTCCAGTGGCGGTGCTTTACACCACTCCATCTAACGTTTGGCTTTGTGCTTGATGATGTAAGGCTTGCATGCAGTTGCTCAGCCATGGAAACCCAGGCCATGAAGCTCTTGGCACACAGTTTTTGTGCTGAACTTGATGCCAGAGGAGGTTTGAACTCTGCAGTTACTGAGCCAGACTTTTATGTACCATGCGTCTCAGCACTCATGACCCGTCCTGTAACTTTGAGTTGCTGTGGTTCCTAAACGCTTCTGCTCGTCAATAATACCACTCACGGTTTATCGTGGAAAAACTAGGAGGGAAGAAATTCAGTGAGCTTTTTCGAATGACCCATTCTTTTACAAATCTGTGTACAAGCAGACTGCATGGCTGGGTGCTTGATTTCATAAACCTGTGGCAATGAGACCGAATGAAACTCTATGTTTAAGAGGTGTGTCTCAATACTTTTGTCCATATAGTGTATGTCATTGTAATTGTATGGGATGGCTATCTTAAATACGAACCAACAAAATACACTGGTGTCAGGGTTGCTGTGAATGTCTGTGATGTCTTTGTCTCTTTCCCCTGTAGTGTACAGTGATTTACACTCAATGGTCTTATTTATCAACGTGTGTATGGTCAAATTTAATCGTTAAATGAGAGTATGCAAATTTCATTGACAGTTGTCAGTTATATCTTTGGTGCATTTGTACGATCAAACTCACGTCTGGTAGAACTGTGTGTAAATTTGGGCATAACATTTTAACAGCCTGAAAAATGCCTGATTTGCATTGATTATTGTTAAATAATCTAGACTGTACATCTCCTGCTGGACCCCCAAACTCTGCCTATTAGGCAACCTTCAAAATACAAGTCTCATTGCTCAAATCCAATTTTTTGCTCAAATCCGATCTCTCTGACACGATGGTCCACACTCGTTTAGGTAAGTGACTCAAATCTGTCATTAATGTGATGAACCAGCGTCCTGAAATGACCCTCATGAGCTCATCCTACTCAGTAACGTCACGTGAATGAATCAGGTTCATCATCAGCACAAACTAACGAGCAGAACGAGCTTCGCTGAGAAGATCATTAACTCTGATCAGCTCTGAGCTTCATTATTAGAGCGAGACGAAGGAGAAAAAGGTGAGATGAGCTGCTTTTCCACCGTTTACAGGCTTTAACTTCTGTTCAGCGCTGCTGCCATGGTAACGCTGAATGCGCTGAACGCAGTGGAAGAAAAAGCACATGAATTCCGATCTGAGTGTCACATTAAGGCCACATATGAAAGGCTACATTAGCGGATTGAAGTGGCACAAATACGATTTTTTGCCCTAATGTGACTCAGATCTGATATTTTCAGAGCTGTGTGGACACAAATCTGATCTTTTCAAATACGACCTGAGCCACTTTCATATATAGTAGTACGCACTACTAGTTAAAATGTGAGCGTCTGTGGTGCAACCGAAATTCGTTTGAAACTACTCTCAACATAACTTGCGTTCAGCTGGTGCACAGTGTATATCTAGTCATAGTGACCTCCCAACTTCTGAAGCTAAAACTTACTTTTAATTCCCACCATATTTAATCTGAATGCAGCACAGACAGAACATGTTTACCTCCACAGGAACCTGAAAAAGACAGAAAGACAAAAAGCTGAAATTGCAAAAAGTTGTAAACTCGATTGCAAATATTAAAAATATCTCAGTGATCCTAAAGATATGTGACTTAATGAATCAAAGCAAAATTAAAAAAGATCCCTAAACAATATTTTAAGTAGTGGTTAGAAAATCTGATGGGCATTTCATGTTGTAATTTTCTGTTTTCTGGCAGAACTCCGACCAAATCTGTGTGAGATATCAGTTTACGGAGGTAATGTTATGTTACATCAGGAGTGGCTACGGTAACTGCAGCAGTCAGTCTTAGTGGGTATTGCAGGTAGGAATTAATCCAGCCATTTAAACACTGTTAGCATTTGCTAAAGAATGAAACTGTGGCAATAAGTCATTCAAATAATGTTAGCATTTGTTGGCTAGGTCACACTAGCAATGCATTCATTTGCTTATGCACTCAGACGTCCAGGCTAGCTAGCTAGTTCGCTCTCTGAAAGTCTGTCACGACTACGGTAGCTTGAAAAATCTAATTGGTATTGGTAAGACTGACCAAGTCAGCCTTCTCTAAACACACACTGACTCCTTACCTTGTAGATACTGAAGCCAATGGCATATAATTCCTGGCCCTGCTTGCGGTAGCGTCGGCGGTCCTTCTGCATCAGAGCCACCAGGAAGCTGCAGGCTTTTTCATTATCCACAGGATCGTCATCCTCCTCCAGCAGGGTGATCTTATACTGCGGGTTTATCCAGAACGTGTCTGACAGAGAGACATGACGAAGGGTATCACACCTATAGCTATCAGTAGGTAATGATAATCCCTGCTCTGTGGTGGTCCTGTGGGGGTCCTGACCATTGAAGAACAGGGTATCAAAGTATGCTGAGAAACAGATGGACTACAGTCTGTAACTGTAGAACGACAAAGTGTTTGGATCTCGCTTTTCTGATTGACTTTATTTTCTTTCTCCTCCTGCTACTGCTCTTCCAGTGTAGAGAGGATGGAAACCTTCCCTGACCAAGTAAATCCTTGAGAGACTCTTTCAAAGGATCCATCAGACGTCACACAAACTGTCCCTCATTCACATTACATACTGACTCACATACATATTAGCACATATATGCACACATATTAGCAACCACCTATGACATGATAGCATGGCCTAGCAATACCTTAGCAACCACCTTGGATACCATAGCAACAGCCTAGCAATACCTTAGCAACCACCTGGGATACCGTAGCAATGCCCTAGCAAAACCTAAGCAACTACCTGGGATACCAAAGCAATGCCCTAGCAACACCTTAGCAACCACATGGGTTACCATAGCAATGCCGTAGCAAAACCTTAGCAGCTACCTGGGATACCATAGCAAAGCCCTAGCAACACCTTAGCAACCACTTGGGAATACCGTAGCAACAGCCTAGCAACAGCAACCACCTGGGATTTCATAGCAACAGCCTAGCAACACCTTAGCAACCACGTGGGATACCATAGCAATGCCCTAGCAACACCTTAGCAGCTACCTGGGATACCAAAGCAATGCCCGAGCAACACCTTAGCAACTACCTGGGATACCAAAGCAGTGCCCTAGCAAAGCCCTAGCAACCACCAGGGATACCATAGCAACAGCCTAGCAACAGCAACCACCTGGGATTTCATAGCAACAGCCTAGCAACAACAACCACCTGAGATACCATGGCAATGCCCTAGCAAAACCTTAGCAACCACCTGGGATACCAAAGCATTGCCCCAGCAACACCTTAGCAACCACCTGGGATACCAAAGCATTGCCCCAGCAACACCTTAGCAGCCACCTCAGATACCATAGCAAAGCCCTAGCAACAGCAACCACCTGCAATACCATAGCAACAGCCTAGCAATAACAACCACCTGGAATACCATAGCAATGCCCTAGCAACACCTTAGCATCCACCTTAGTTACTGATCCAGCTTCTGACCCTGTTGTTGACCTGGCCTCATCTCCAGATGTCCTACTGGCCTCTGCAGAGGCAGTAGGTGCTCTGACCTCTGCTGAGGTCTTCTCTTTGGGAGCCGTGCTTCTCCTTACCTGTGTCTTGTTAACCTATGTTTCCATTAATAGCTTTTCTGTGCATTTTTGCTTTACAAAGCTTTGCTTCTGGCCTAACTGAGCTGTGTTACCTGTTTGCTTCTTTACTGGATTACAATTATAGATTTGCCCTGGATTTCTGTCTTGGATTTCCCTGCTCAAGCACACCTACTGAACCTGACAATGAGTTGACCCAGGTGAGATTTTTTTGGAAATCTCCTCATCTCCCATAGGGGACTCTCTTCCGTTTAACCCTAGAGGGTACTGATTTTTTAGTTTCATATAAATGTACCTGTGTTATTAATGCAGCCACCGGCAGTCGAGCCAACTTTCCAGCTGCCTTCAAACTGCTGAAGGGCCCACTTGCTGACACGATTGCTATTCGAAGCATCTGGTGTCAGGTTGCAGATCTCCAACTTTGAGTACCGCACCTTAAAGTCTGAATACGCCATCCTGAAAGAGGGATACATAAACACAAAAGCAAAGAGAATAAAAATCATAGGCAGAATGAGTTGCTCGTTGAACAAACTCACCAGAACTCTCCATCCTCTGCAGAGTAATTGAGTTTGGCCTTCTCCTGAGGCAGGACCTGGTCCCACTCCTTGGAACTGAGGAGGATAATAAGAGGATTTTACCCAATTATTTCATTATTCAAAGTTTATTTTACAGATCACATTCATGGTTGGCCAGTACACTTACTTATCACTCCAAGCGCCGTTCCATTCCGTTTGTCCCCAGGGGTTCCTGAGGCGCACCAGTTGCACCTTACTTCCACCAACATTAACCTACAACAGAGTGATGAAAGCCAAACTGTTTATAAACCTGCATATACTGTATGAATGTATGTTTACAACAGATTCTGTCTGTACATGAAGTGTGACTGTAAATCAGCAGATATACAAAGATTTGAGCGTGAAAGGTGCATTTTCACAGCATGAGTTGCGTCTGACCTCCACTGCTCCTGTGACGGAGTAGACATGTGTCTTGACCAGCTTCTCTTTGGTCACAGCCTCCATTTCATTTCTACTGCCCTGTTCAGAAAAGCAACACACTGAAGCATTACTTATTCATATTCAAGAAGTGAGAACATTCATGTGTTTTCTCTTAATGCATGTCAGGCTTTCTTTAGCCTTGTTAGGAACTGACAAAACCCACTTATACAGTTATACATTTAAAGCATCCTTACATATATAGTTGTGCACAGCAGAGAACCCCGGCTCAGGGCCTGCTTTATGATATTAAACAGGTTCGAAGGAGCTTTGCTGAGCTCGTAGCTTTCTGCAACGCCTCCAGTAAAGTCTTCGAAACCTTCAGAAGCCCAGCCTCCAGAAAGAGCCTCATAGCTGCCGTTCACCCTGAGGAACAATCAGAAACACAATCTCAGTCATACGGCGTCAAAGCCCCAGCAGACCTTCATGAATAGAAGTATTTAATATTGCAACGTGGCCTGTGCTTGGTTACAGTTAACCGAGTTGCCGTGTTGATGGTAAAAACTTGGGGCCGTGTTACAGAAACTTCCTATCTTTTTGTCTTAACTTAAGATCTGACAACTCAAGATAAGATTTTTTCTCAAATTCGTATTACAGAAGCAAATCTGACCGTAATTTAAGAAACTTATCTTACAGCATCTTATCTTATCTCAAGCTAGGAAATCTTAACTTACTCGATTGAAGTCGACAATCAACTGCCATGTCTGTTACCTAGCAACCAACCATTCGCGCACAGCTGAAACGTAAACACGTAATTAAGCAGCTAATGTTAGCTACTGTTACCGATGTAAAAAAAGGCCAAATAAACCTAAAGTGCGATAAACTGAGAGTTAAGAATATTGTTTCTGCGCTTTGTGCTGTTCATCAGAGCATCACCGCTCTCAGTTTCGGTTTCACTTCCCAAATGCTTTAGCCAAGCGCGCTAACGTTATTCCTCCTAATAAACAGACTCACGTTCAGCTCTGTCTCCTCATTATTCACCACCATCACTGTAATATTGTATCTGACGAGTTTTTATCAACATTAACAGGTAATAAGAAGGTAATAAGAGGGACAGTGGAGGCTTTTAAATGCTGTTAAAAAAACTCAGGTCAAAGCACCATATTCAGTTTAGATAAATGTAGTGTCATTATGCTAGTTATAGTGAACTGTGCTGCCTCTCACTGCATAAAACAATAGAAACAGACAGTTAAAACAGAAGTTAAGACGCTCTGGAGTTTATCTTAGAGTTAAGAAAATATTTAGGATATTTTGGCAACTTAGGATGTTTCTGTAACACTGTTTTCTTATCTGGAAATGAGATACGGTTACAGACTTAAGAACTGTTGTTCTGTAATGGCTTCTGTCCTAAATTCAGTCTTAACTGAAGTTGCCATGACAACAAAGCAGATAAGATCTCAGACTTAAGAATTTTCTGTAATATGGCCCCTGTTTACTGACAGATTTGGTTCATTTATTGATTTACGTCATGCATACTACAGCAAGACACTAGTATTTCCACATGTAAACTGGCAGGGTATACATTTTACGACACCCTCACACCACAGTGTCAAGTTTCATTTCCATCAATAAAAAATGACTCTGATCTCTCTGCAGTCATTCTGCCGTTTGCTTTATGGCAAAAATGAATGGAGTTTCAGAGAATCATTACCATCACGCTCTGTGGTACACAAAAAAAAAAAACGATAAGTTTTATCCCAGTTTTTTTCACTGAATGTCATTGGATCCTCTGAATTACAAAGTCATTAAGTAACTGAAATATGAACATTGCTACATCCGTGCTAACAGGAAACTGACACTCCTGTGCACTGTAATGACATCGCATGAAGCTAAGTCTACTTTTAAACTTCAACACTATTATAAAATAACTCCAGTTACTCCTAAGGTACTCTACTACTGCTTGTCGCTACCTGATCTGAATCCCCTGCCCCGATTTGCACCACGCATGTCCAACACTGTCAGCCTTGCATAAAGAACAGCACTTTTACTGGCACTGGCTGATCTGTACCGTGTATTTGTAAGCATTTTACAGCAGTTTAAAATCATAGTTGAACTGTAACAAAACTGCTGTATTGTTCTGTTGTTATTACTTGTGTAATTTGGCCCTTGTAGTTACTTTTCGGGTTGGCATGCTATCCTACATGTCTATGAGTGTGTTTCCATGCACTCAATAATCCGATCATAATCAGATTTCTGCAGTTATCCGATTATTCAAATGGTCATGTAAAACACCATACTCTGATCTAGAAATCTGATTAAGAAATCCGATAAAGAGAGCTGGATTTTAGATCAGTAATCTGATTTCTCAGTGCATGTAAACTCTTACTCTGATTTCTTTCGGATGTCCCAGTTTGCGCATGTGCAAGAGCAGCGGCAGTGCAAGCGGCGTTGCTGTGAGACGCATCAAAACTCTTTTGGAGCACCACTGAACCCAAACACGAAATAAAGGATTTAAATGTTCTTCATTTTCTACATGATGTAGGTTCATATTTTTAAATAAATTTGTGCGATGTTTTAAAAAAGCACTCTATCAGTGAAGGTTGATGTGCAGACTGCTGGTCACCATAGCAATGCAGACAAATTTTGCCGACTAGTAGCTAACGACAAGGCAAAGAAAGAAGATGAACATCGATAATTTAGAGACGAATAGACTTATTTGTATTTATAATCACTCCAGCTGGTTTCTTGATACGTTTAATCTGCAACAAGAAACTGTCAAACACTAAAAAGTCGCGAAGCAGACGTCAGTTTCTTGTTGGAATTTTCATGTTCCACCTTAAATAGTGCTGGAGTAACTTTCTGGTACCTCAGGCGACATTTAACGTGGGATGGGAAGTTGGAGCTGGTGAATGACAAGCTGACTTTGGCCTTGTAAAAAGTCGAATGTTGAGAGACACTATTGTACTTTTATGGAAAGGTTTCCTGCCAGAGATGCAAGAGAAGTGGCTATAGCTGAGCTAAAGCTTAAAGCAGAACAAAGTAAGTCTGCATTTTCGTTTATATTTTTAGCCTATGCTAGTACATCAGCACATACTGAGACATATTTACAGCCAAGATGGTGAAATGGACATAAAATGTTGCAAGGACAAAATGGCTCTTCTTAACATTTGGGTTGCGACACCTGCCCAATCCTCTAGGGTACATAACTCATTCGTGCACTACTCATTAAAGTGCATTGTGGGATTGTTTGACTGCGCTGGATCTTCTGCACAATGTTTTCAGACACCATTACAAAATGGTGGAACCTTATAATGTAAGCTGCGTAAAGAGGAGAAACACTCTGTGATCACTGGAGGGTAACGACATCAGCTAATTAACACAGATGTGATCAATGCTGGCCTTTAGATAACTTTAGCTAATGTTAACAGCCGAGAGATGAACAGTCGCCCCCTAACGGAGCTGCAGACAGCCAGTATAACTTTACTCTCTGTTTCTGGAGATTTAAATGACGTTTGATTGGAGAAACATTAACGTTAAATATCAGACTGAATGTCGTGGGTCTGAAAACGACGTCGTGTTTCGACAGACGTGATTCTGTAAGTTTGCTAGTGCAGTTAGTTCAGAGTTCAGCTCCAGTCCTGAAACCCCTGCACTGCATAACTGTGGTTTCCTGGTTAAAATACCTGATATTATTAGCTAATTAATCCCTTCTTGAGCTGAGCGAGGTGAACAGCAGAGAGAAACACTCAACTATACAGTGCAGCGGCTCCAAACCTGGAGTGAAAACACTGAATTAAAGGTCTGTGTGTCTCTCGTCTCTCAGCTTCTGTCACGTCTTTCAGGTCAATCGTTCACAAAGCACAGCGAATTGAAGGCGTCGAGCAGCGCAGTCACTCCCTGATTCGGTCCTCAAAATGGTGGCGACTATACAGAGTGACGTCATGTGAAACGAGGGAATAGATGTTGATGTTCTCCAGTTCATTCCTGGTTTTGTACATCTTACACATCTCCATTAAAAGATAGTCCATCAAAGTTATTAACCGAAAATGCCTAGTTCAACTGAGAGATCTAATACAAGTGAGAATAACATTTTATGGCTAAAGTGAAAACAGGTTAAGATAAACAGACAAATGCTAATCGTCTCTTTTCACCCCAGCTAACGTTACTAGCCTACTCACATTGTACAGGGAGATTCACTCGAAAGAGGCCCCGAATATTCTGCTGTAACTCCCGTTAGGAGCAATCTGAACTAAAAAAATACACGTTGACGTACGTGTAATTAATTGCATTACATGCGATGCTGAAAGTGATCTCTGTTTTCTGCCAGACACATGAAGGGATACGGGGGTATGCACGCGCAAGTTGCAAACGGAGGTTAAACGTTGTGACGGCGCCTACCTCATCGCTCCGACGCAGGGGCATCTCAGCTTGTTTGAAGCTCCACATACTAAGGATAATGTTGCACGTTGTTTTGTTCAGGTTGCTTTGTCCTAGTAAGAGTTATTACAGAATATTCAGGGCCTCTTTCAAGTGAATCTCCCTGTATGTCACCTCACACCTTTTAGCAGGAAAACAGTGAGACTGTAAAATGTTAGTTAGTTGATAAACTCAATAAACACATTGAAATGTTGTTAATAGTGACTCTAACATAGTAGAGCGTAACATGGACATGAGCGTCTTGTTCATTTCTGCTAGGCTATGTGCTATAACTGTGTTTGTACTGTCTTTCTATGCTTCCTTCTTTGGACTAAACGTGAGAAACTCTGACCACAGTGTAAGGCGCAGGTTCTACACTGCCTTCTGGTGGATTACAGAGCTCGGACATCTCATGTTATGGGAACATATGATGTTAGCTAATTTGCATAACACTCTCATGACTATGTGAAAGTCCCAGAATTCTGACTCATCCCTAATAGAAGGCAGTTTTCACAGTGCCCCGCCCTTTTTTTTCAGGCTAGATTGCCCTCAATGATGAGGAAAAGCTCTGATATTATGGTAAAGATATCCCACACACACTCACTTAGCGTAGGCCTTCTCCAGCAGCGCGCTCCAGAACTCATTTCTGTCAGCTGAGTGAACGAACAACAGTCTCCCGTCTCTGGTGGGCAGTTTGTCATCAATGACAACGTCCACCCACTGTCCATACTGCCACAGCTGTGGAGAGGAAGATGCAATAACACATCAGCAGTATGACTATGGAAAAGATTCTATGTCATAACAGTGAATAAACGTGATGTGCAGTACTCAAAATGCATGCAGCAAGCGTTGTCCCTGAGGGTGCTTTAGCGCCCCCTACTTTCAAGACTGTAATTGCTTATTATCATCATCATCATCTTTAACTGCTTAATCCAGATAGGGTCACAGTAGCAGTTGGGAGAGCAGAGAATCTCAGAAGACTCTGTTCCCCACAACATCCTCCAGCTCATTCCAGGGGACCCCGAGCCGCTCCCAGGCCAACTTAGAGATATAATCCCTCCAGCAAGTCCTAGGACAACCCCGGGGTCTCGTCCCAGTAGGCTGTGCCTGGTAAACCCCCATTGGGAGGCGTCCAGGGCACCTGATCCACCTCCACTGGCTCCTCTCAGTGTGGAGGAGTAGTGGCTCTACTCTGAGCTCCTCCCGGATGACTGAGCTCCTCACCCTGTCAGTAGAGTGTAGGCCACCACCCTGAGAAGAAAGGTCTCTTTCTACGCTTGTATCCATGACTTGAATCTTTCGATCATTACTCAAAGCTCATGACCACAGGTGAGGGTCAGGATGTAGACCGACCGGTAAACAGAGAGCTGTAAGTTGTAGTTTGTGTTTTCATTTAACCTCTTAAATAGCTGTGTCTGATCCACTCAGACCAGCGTAACACACACTATCACACCACCGCCACGTCAGTGTTACAGCAGTGCTGAGAATGATCCACCACCCAAATGGTACCTGCTCTGTGAGGGTCCATGGGGGTCCTGACCACTGAAGAACAGGGTAAAAGGGGGCTAACAAAGTATCAGAGAAACAGATGGACTACAGTCTGTAACTGTAGAACTACAAAGTGCACCTATATAGTAAGTGGAGCTGATAAAATGGACAATGAGTGTAGAAACAAGGAGGTGGTCATAATGTTATGCCTGATCGGTGTACATTGCAATGCAGTGTTGATACAAATGAAGCCTGTAATTCTTGCTAATTTTGTCATTACAGAGATTTTCTGCTAAATAAACAGCTTAGACTATGCATAGATCTAAGGTTTTTATGCTGGTCTACTGCTGGTCTGGTGCTGGTTTAGCTGGTCACCCATCATGATCATGCTGGGTGACCAGAATACCAGCATCTAAAACACATCAAACGCTGACCAGCCATGGTGGTCCATGCTGGTTTTTGGTTTCATTTTTATCCTGCAAGTCCTCAGATGAAAAGTTAGTCAGGAGAGTCTGACCTGAAAGTGAAAGATTCCAGCGTAGTCCTTCGCGAAGCTCTGCTCAGGATGAATCACTCGTGCTAGAATCTTTTGGTCCAGAGTCAGAGAGGCGATGGCAGCCATCAGCCAGCAGTCACCTGCAGGGATGAATGTACATGATCCTCACCGCCGTCCTTGCAAGCAAAACTCTGCACATGATAAACTTTCTGTCTGTGAAAACAGTTCAGCGCTGCATCCACAAATGCTAATTAAATGCAAAGAAGAAACCAAATATAAACAGGATCCAGAAATGCTGCCACCTTCTCTGGGCCTGAGCTCATTTAAAATGAACTGAGGTGAAGTGGAAAAGTGTCCTGTAGTCTGACGAATCAACATTTGAAATTCTTTTTGGAAATCATGGACATTGTGTCCTCCGGGCTAAAGACCACTCAGCTTGTTATCCGTGCACAGTTCAAAAGCCAGTATTCATGATGGTATAGGGGGCATTAGTGCACATGGTATGGGTGACGTGCACATCTGTGAAGGCACCATTAATGCTGAATGATATATACATGTTTTGGCAACATATGCTGCCATCCAGACGACGTCTTTTTCAGGGAAGGCCTTGATTATTTCAGCAAGACAATGTCAAACCACATTCTGCACGTATTACAACAGCATGGCTCTGTATTAAAAGAGTCCGTGTGCTAAACTGACCTGCCTGCAGTCCAGACCTGTCACCACTGAAAACATTTGACGCATTATTTTCATAGCTATGCTGACGACACCCAGTTATACATAACTATTCCTTCTGACGATCAAGACTCTGTAGACAAACTAATCAGCTGTGTGTCAGATATTTCTCAGTGGATGTCGCAAAATTTTCTACAATTAAATCATGAAAAAACTGAAATATTGATCTTTGGTACAGAAACTCAGAGAAAAATGATTTTTGAGAAACTTGGTTCTTTAGCTTCATCTACCAAACCTGAAGTACAAAACCTGGGTGTGATCTTAGACTCTGAGCTCTGTTTTACCCCACAGGTAAACACAGTCACTAAATTAGCTTTTTATCATTTAAGAAATTTCGCTAAAGTTTGGCCTTTTCTATCTCAGAGCGACGCAGAGAAACTTGTTCATGCATTTGTTACAAGCAGACTTGACTACTGTAATGATCTTCTTGCTGGACTTCCTAAGAAAACTATACATTCCTTACAAAACGCAGCAGCATCCTAACAAAAACAAAAGAGAGATCAGATCAGTCCCATTTTGAAAGAACTGCACTGGCTGCCTGTATCATTCAGGATAGATTTCAAGGTTCTGCTACTAGTCTTTAAAGCTCAAAACAACCTTAAAGCACCTGCTTACATCACAGAGTGTCTGTCTGTTTATGTTCCGGCACATAATCTAAGATCTGCAGATAGTGGCCTTCTACAGATACCCTCTGTAAAATACAGAAAACATGGAGAGACTCTTTCAGTTATTCTGCTTCTAAACTGTGGAACTCAATTCCACCTTTTATTAGACAGTCAAGCTCAGTGCTCACTTTTAAGAAGCACCTAAAAACATATCTCTTTAAATTAGCATTTAACTAAAACTGAATGTCTCGTGGTTTTTATCTTGTAATTTAATCTTCTTCATTTTCTTCTGATTCTAATTAAGTACTAATGATCTTTTCTATAACTATGTTTTATCACCTGTTTGTAAAGCACTTTGAGCTGCCACCGGCATGAAAAGTGCTATATAAATAAAATAATTATTATTAAATTATTATTATTAATCACAGATTCACAAATGAGTTTTCCTTTACTAAACTGCATCTGTAGGTCTCTGTTCATAAACATAAACTAGCCAAAACAAATTTACTATAAATGAAATAGTGTTTGTATAAATTCAGGAAAAAGACACATCAGTCACAACTGCATATGTGTACATATTTCTATATTGTGGTCTGTTTACACAAAGTTAGGTTAGTTCATCATTTATGTTGAATAGACTCTCCCAAAATTTTACGCTGCTGCACTGATGTTGAACTGTACAACGGTGTTTTAGGGCCACTGTTAAATAAAAATAAAAATAGTAGACTTTGAGAATAAAGTCGTAATATTTCGAGAAAAAAGTCGTAGAATTACGACACTAAAGTGGCATTAATACCAGGAAAGGTCACGGTATTGTATCCAAAGGCTTTGTGAAGTGAAGGCAGCACCTCCTCGTGTTAAATGAGGGCGGTGAGGAGGTGGAGTTCTACTTTCATATCGATTCATTCAAATGTTACGACTTCATTCTCCAAATATTAAGACTTTTTTCTCTAAATATTACTACTTTATTCTCGAAGTCTATTTTTTTATTTTTATGAACAGTGGCCCTAAAAAGCTGTCGTAGAACCGTATGGTTGCATTGGGTCGGTATGTCCAACAGGTCAAAACAAGCTCAAAACAAAGTGACCGCTGTGCCCTGATTGGTGTTCTTGCTTTGCGCTTCTTTTGTTTTGACATGTTACGTTTTTATACACACATAAACCAAAAGGAACGACAGGTTTCTCAGAATGTAGTGGAGTAAAAAGCGAGATATTTGACTTTGAAATGTAGTGGAGTGAAAGTAAAAAGTCGCCCAAAATGGAAATACTTCAGTACAGATACACAAAAAAACTACTTAAGTACAGCAACCAATTACATTTACTTCGTTACTGTCCACCACTGCTTACACATTAGTCACTCTGCATGTGTCCACTTACCCAGAGCCCCTTGGCAGATGTCGGTCCTCGTGGCTCCGCTGATGATGAACTTGGGGTCTGAGCACAGCTCCTGCACAACACAGTAAACGGCTTCAACTCAGACACACATTCATGTTGTCTTACGGTTGCCTTGAGTGGAGGCTGTAAAAAATGCACTTTCAGCTTTAATTTGAGAGTAATTACATCCCAAATGGGATGAACAGTTTAGGAATTACAACCATTTTCATACATAACTATCCAGACACCCTTCTAAGAAGTGAATACAGATACTTTAAGGTGCACTCACTGCTAACACAGTCTTTCAACTGTGCACACAGCTTGCATAGCATTGGAAATAGAATAGGATGCTCTGGAGCAGCTGCACATGAGCCTCAGGTCACCAAGAGGTATAAAGCCACCCAGCTCTGGGCTGTTAAGCAGCAAAACTATGTTCTCCGAAGTGATGGAGCTCCATTCAGTATCTTTGGGATGATTTGGAGTGATCCAGAACTGATCATCCAACATCAGTACCTGACCTCACACTGCAAAAAACGGTATCTTGTCAAGTAAAATTGTCTTAAATCTAGGCAAAAAACTAATATTTAAGCTTAAGCTTAATTTAAGATTATTTAACTTATTTCTAGACATTTTTTACTTGTTTTAAGTAATTTTATTCAGTAAAATTATCTCACTATATTGGCAACAATTGTGCTTGTTTTAGAAAATGTGCTTAAAATTAGCAAAATTATGTGCCAGTATAGTGAGATAATTTTACTTAATAAAATGACCTAAAACAAGTAAAATATGTCAGGAAATAAGGTAGATAATCTTATAATAAGTGCACAACCATCTCAAAACGGGTAATATATGATATATTTTATTAAGACTTAATATCATTTCACTTGACAAGATACCATTTTTTGCAGTGCACTAATGCTCTTGTGGCTGAATGCAATCAAATCCTCACTGCAGTGTTTCAACATCTAGTGTAAAGCCTTCCCAGAAGAGTAGAGGCTGTTACTGCAGCAAAGGAGGTACAAGCCCCAGTTAATATCCTTCATTCCTGAAGAAATGATGGACGAGCAGGTGTCTGCAAACTTTTGGACACATAGTGTAGGTAAATGGGTTTGCCTGTTACATTGACTTACATCAACAGTATGTTTTTCTCCTGTAAAGTTACTATTTTCATATGTTTCTTTTTTCTGTCAGCAATGATCTCATATATTGATTAACAGTGACAGAATTTCAGGTAACAACAGAAGTTACCTCTATAGAGTCATTTTAGGTTAGCCTGACTTTAGCTACACTTACTGAGGGTCTTTTCCATTGCACTCCTCTGGTCTTGGGAGAGTTTGGTCCGAGCTCCTTGTAGCCCAGGGACTCGGGGGCAGCTGGGAAAATGGGGTCACAGAACTGCTCCCCCCTGCTCAGACACTTGCTCCTCAGTGCCTCAAAGTCTTGGTTCCGGTACTTGACGGTGTTGGTGCTGTTGCCCAAGCCCGCAGTCTGGGCTTGATTCTTGGCCAAAGTGGACACCACTCCAGAGCATTGTTCTCTTCTTGTGTGGTAAATACAAGCACGCAGGGTGAAGACTCAGACTTTAAGAAGTGAGTTAAGTACCTTTGGGTCTCTCCTCCCTATTCCAGGCCTTTTTGAGGTGGAGTTTATTCGCTCTGTCATTGTTGAATATTCATGACTGAGAAGCAGGCCTTAGAGAAAGCAACAAGAAGTCAAGTGCCCTGCTTAACTGGTGCATTAAAAGCAGGTTTTCCATCCATCACCTTTACCAAAGTATAAAAGAACTTTCCCCCATTTAGCTTATTTCAAAATGAGGATCCCAGTGCTTGCTGTCGTATTTTCTATTGGCTCACGCTTCTGAAATTCGCATGAAGCAAAATTAACTACCACCGGAAGTGAATCCTGTTTATGAGCTTTCCTTTTTCTTGTGATTTAGCCTTTAAGTCAGGCAAATTGTACTGGCGTTTGGTGTTGTGGCTTCATTCTGGAGTTTCTCTCTGTTGTCCTTGCTCTAACACAATACAAGCTCTTCACTACCAAAAAAGGGCGAACATAGCTAACAATTAATAGAAACCGCAATTTAGCACAAATTGAGTTTTGTTCAGTGGTTAATGGTTTGCAACAGTAGCTTTTTATGCTAGCCGGTATAAAATACTAGGCAAGCAATTTTCCAAGTTTTTTCCTCCATTCCTTTAGTTTAGTTTTGACTAATATAAATTGCAAAACAGCTGTATTTAATAATAAAGGTGACTTCTGCATTAAAACTAAAATTTCTTCTGTAATGGCTGTAATTCTTTGTACCGTTTGGTAGATTTGATAATTCAAGTTGTGCTCGATAAGCATAAATTAGTTTGCCTCATCTGAAAAATGAATTATTGACCAGAACTAAATGTATTGATTAGAAAAAAAAATTACCATGATTGCTTCAAAGATTGAAAGAATTATGGCGTATAAGTATCTTTTGCTCAGTGAAAAAATAGCCTTTAAATATCATGAAAACAAACTAGTAGGTAAATTAAGGCAAATAATTGATTTTTTTTTAATAAGCATAAAACACCCCAGCTAGCAAAATCATCTGGCCCAAGCCTCTGGCCTGACTCTGGCTGGACAGGTGTGGCCGTGCAGCCTGATTCAGAAGTATAACTGGGACATTAAAAGACGTCCGATAAATTAAACAGAAGGTAGTTAAAACTGACCTTTAAATAAAGGAAAATGTGGAAGCTGCAAGCCACTTATGTTTAACTTACCTTTCTTTCCTGTGGTGTTCAGGCACTTTCTTTCCTCCATCGCTATGGTTATGCTGGAATTATCGTTACATAGCAATTAAATCTACGAGTGGCTGCAGGACCACAGCCATCCAGCCAGAATTGGCCCAGAGGCTTTCATTCAAGCACTAGCCAACAGTAAAGTAGGAATTGGGCCAGACGATTTTGCTAAGTGGTTTCTTTCAGTTGAGAATAAAATTGGTTCAATTGCTGGCTACCATTTGGGATATAATAGCAACAGCCTAGCAACACCTTAGCAACCACCAGGGATACAATAGCAACAGCCTAGCAGCATCTTAATAACCACCTGGGAAACCATAGCAACAGCCTAGCAATACTTTAGCAACCATCTGGGATACCATGGCAATAGCCTAAAACACATTAGAAACAACCTGGGAAACCATAACGACAGCCTAGCAAAACCTGTTAGACTTTGCTCTCGGGTCTGGTCCATATTCAAGACTTGGTTCTGTAGATGGGCCTGGGTCCAGGCAGAATTTCGGCGGACTGTGTTCAGGGTATGTCTGATTCAGACAAAAATTCAAGGCCCAATCAAAGCTTCAGTAGACTATGTGCAGTAGAATGGTCACTGGACTCACTCCAGTGAGGCTCTTAAGGACAGTACTTGTTTTCGGCCCCTGGTGCCAACATTCGCCATTCAGATGCATTCAGATAGGTAATCAGATTTGATACTGTATTCCACGTGTACAGCATGTATCTCATCTGTCTAGGCAAATAAGAAGCCAAAGTTCTTCAGAATGTTGAAGCCAGAGTTCTTCAGAATGTTGCACTAGGCCATATCAGCCTGCAGCATCTGCTATTCCAGGGAATTCTCTACTCCAGAGATGTTTTCTCTTTCATTTCAGTCAGCTTTTAATGCGCTGGTAAGGGCAGAAGGTTATGAATGATTACAGAGATCTTAATTATTATCTTAATTATGAACCCAATTTCCAAAAAAAAAAAAGTTGGAACAGCAGGAAAAATGCAAATAAAAACAGAAAGCAGTGATTTGTAAACTGTCTTTTACAAGTATTTAATTAAAAACAACACAAAGAATATATATTTAATATTTTACCTCATCAACTTAACATCAATGTAAATATACGATATACAGCTTGCTCTGTTATGCAAAATGGTAGCCATATCTAAACAGCATCCAGAAACTCTGCCAACTTCTCTGGGCTAAAGCTCATCTGAAATTGACTGACACAAAGTGGAAACATGTCATGTGGTCTAACCTTTCAAATTGTATTTGGAAATAATGGACATGGTGTTTTCCAGGCCATAGAGAAAAAGGATCATCCAGATTGTTGCCAGCGTAAAGTTCATAATCCAGCATCTGTCATGGTATGGGAGGGGGGGGTATTATTGGATAACAATAAGCACAATTAATACTGAGGAGTACATACACATTTTGGAGCAACGTGTGCTGCCATCTAGATGACGTCTTTTTCAGGGACATCCTTGCTTATTTCAGCGAGACAATGCTAAGCCACATTCTGCATGTGCTACAACAGCATCACTTCGTAGTTTTGTCTTTTTTTCATATTCATAATTTGAAAGTGCCAGCTTCTCTTTACACAGTGTCAACAATTCATGATGGATGGACCTGGATGGAAGATTTTAAAATCCCTTTCAAAGTTTGTATTTTGGGACGGTTTTGATGTGTGACCAGTGTATTACTATTTAAAAGTTTGGAATCACTTCATATGTTGGAAAATGCTGTTATCTTATTCAATAATAAATCATACAGTGCGGACTAAAATGCTATAAGTAATATATATAATATATGACATTTATTCAATTGTATTCAAATGTATTCATACATAATATACTGTAATAATCTACTTATAATACCTTGTGATTTGTGATTTGAGATTTAATCCATGTATTAAAAAGAAATCATTTTAAATGTTATTATTCTATAACTTAATTCTTGATGTTTTAGAGCTTTCTCATTATGAAATTATCTGTAGCTTCATTCATAATTCTGGGCACATTTAAATGTCCGAATTTTTTTTTACAGTTTATGTATTTTTTTACAGTTTAGCATTATATTATAAAATGATATTAAACTTTTTGGTTATGCACACCATTGTCACATTTAGTGAAAGAAGGGCATAAAATGAAAAGCACCTGATAGCCATCTGGCAAATATCGTGGTGGATAATTGATGCTTTGGGGCCGGTTTTCTGCCTGTTATCTAGGGGCTCCTGTGAAAATCAATGGCGTAATAAATTCCATTAAACACCAGAAGATTTTAGCCCACAGTCTATCTGCCTATCTGCCTTTGTGGGTGAATCTTTCAGCAAGATAATGACCCCAAACACACATCAAAATCCACACAGGAACAGTTGCTGGAACTAGGGGTTGCACAGTCAAGTCGACTTGGCGATGATGTTTTAAGCTTGATGTCAACTAGTTGCTGTTCACAGGGATTATGACACTAACAACATGGATGCCTCAGAGAAGACAACAGGTGAGGATTCTGGTGATTTTGGGGTCTGTATCTCAGGTTTCCTGAAGGCCTGTGGAGTTTGGCTTCGCCTTTAATTCTATTTCTCCATCAATCTACACTGCTTCAAAGATCACATATTGAACGTTGGTATCTCCAGTTATCTAAAGTCTACAACAAAGTCTTGTAATCCTGGGAAGTTTGAAGTTAGTTACTCTTATTTTCGCAGAGTTATTTCACTCCAAATTTCTCTGGTTCTCCAGACCTCCCCTGCAGGGGAACATCTCGGCAGGGCCACCTAGGATACGAGATTCCGGGGTCCATATCTCTGATTCCCTGAAGACTATCAATGCGATCCAGGGTTCGCTGGAAAGAACATGTCAGGCTCTACTGACCTGTGGAGAGAGATTAGTCAACGTCGCCTCAACTTCAATCACATAACTGCAGACTTTAAAGCATCTGAAGTTGAACAAGCGGGTACACAAAATCAAAAAATATCAAGGAACTGGAAATGTTCTGCAGGCAGGGAGGGGTCCAAGATCTCTCAACAAGTGTTCTGCAACCTTGTTAAGCATTACAGAAAGCGGCTCACTGCTGTTATTCCTGCCAGAGGAGGCTTCACCCAATGTTAATAATGAGGGTGCTATGTTTGCAAAGGAAATTGGGTTACTAAAGAAAACATATCCATGTGTTTTAGACATAAATATCACTCACTGCAGGTGTGATTTATTTAATATATTGATTTTAGCTCATTATCATAAGGGTGCAGATAATTCTGGAGTTGACTGTATGTTACTGTTGGAACACTGGTCAGGCCTTCAATGGCAGGGCTGGATGCTGCTCTTCTCATGTGATCTCTGGCATCAAGACAAGCACATTCAGGTAGATAATCCGACTTGATTTCATTCCAGATCTGCAGTGCATACCTCATCTATCTAGACAGTCTATCTAGAAAGCCTGAGATCTTCAAAACATTTTGTGCAACACACCAATCTGCCGGAGACGCCGTGCCGGGGAAACCTCTACTGCAAAGAAGTCTTACCACAGGTTGTTCATTTCAGTCAGTGAGTGTGGATTTGATTTTAACTTTTAATGAGATAAGATAAGATTAATTCCACAGCTAACCTGCATGCCTATTCTGAGATGGGCGGTATTTTAGCTGGAACATACAGTACTGGGCAAAAGTCTTGGGAAGCCAAGAAAATTGTTTAAAACTATTTATTGTGGCATTAAGTGTGTTTTTAAATGAATAAAACTTAATATAAACAAGTAAATACAAACTAGAAAGTGACAGTTTGTGAGCAAGGTTTGTATCTATTTGGGGTTTAAAAGCTCTTTATTAACTATCATGATATAAAAATAGTATCCTGCCTTCCGCCCAATGACAGCTGGGATAGGCTCCAGAACCCCACCGTGACCCAGAAGGATAAGCGGTTTAGATGATGTATGTATGTATGTATGTATGTAAAAATATCATAAAAACTATTTCATATTTTTGGAGCTATTCTTGCAGACGTCCAGGCAGGCAGGTCCAAGAGTTCAGAAACGTTTTTACACAACTGTTTATACAGTAAACAAAAAACAAATTCAGTGCTTCCTTTGTGTCTTGTTGTGTTGGTAATAATAAATATGTTCATTTTTCAAAAACTCTCACATTTCATAGGCGTAAATCCAAATGTCTGGTATACTGGACACTGAATATTACATATTTCCTAGTCAATAAATAAATAAATAAATATCGCCTCATAGCAAGGAGGGCCTGGGTTCGATTCCCCGGCCGGGCTATCAGCGTCCTTTCAGTCCAAAAACATGCAGTCAAGCTAATTGGACATGCTAAATTGTCCCTATGTGTGAGTGTGTGTGTGTATGTATGTTTATGTCTGTCTGTCTGCCTTGCAATGGACTGGTGACCTGTCCAGGGTGTATCCTGTCTTCTACCCAATGACTGCTGGGATAGGCTCCAGCTCCCCCTGCAACCCAGAAGGATATGTGGCTTAGAAGGTGTGTGTTTAAAGTGCCCAGCCAGAAAAACGGTGGCCTAGCATCTCCAGTTGTAAACTAAAGAAGCACACGTCAGATACCAAACATGTCTTGGCTGTTTGACTGCATCTGGGATAAGTGATACTTATCTAAATTTTTTGCTTAACTGTTCCTTTAATTATGGTATTTAAAGACAGATTGATGAGATAAATTAGGTATTGGGTAGTAACGGTACATACTAGACGTCCTCAAGAAGAGATTTGGAACTAAGCTAACACATTGAAACACATCAAATCACAATGTGCTGTTACACACACACACACACACACACACACACACACCCACACACACATATATATATATATATATATATGTGTGTGTGTATATAAGTCAATGGAACCAGAATTTTTAACAAGTTATTTTAGGCCATTTCTTTTGGTCCATTCTTCATGAAATTTACACCCAATGTAAAGGACAATAGGCATTTTCTAAGTGTGTCAAAAACTGAAAAACAGTTTGTTACGACAGCAGTGAAATGTTCATTTGCACTGGCCAATTTATGGATCCACTATTTAGACTGGTGTAAG